GATACCAAAGGAAAGCCTCTAACAGGAAAGATCATTTTCTAAAAAGAAGAAAAAGCACCATCAATTCAAAGAGCAGGAGAAGACTTCCAGAAATCAATAATAATATTCTTAGAAATATTAGAGATTTTATACCCATTAAACAAAAATAGTATGCTATCAAAAAACAAAACAGAGTAAGACCTCCTGAAAGATAAAAATACGATTTAAAAATTACTTAATCCATAGAAAGTTTGGAAGATAAAGTTGAGAAATCTTACAGAAAATTGGAGGAAAGACAAAGTGACGGACATGAGGAGAGACAAAATTAAAAAATTAGAGGATCAATCCAAAAGATCCAATATCTGATTAACAAGAAATAGGGAAAAGGATAGTGAAAATGGAGAGGAAATTATTAAAGAAATAATACAATAAAACTTCCCAAAACTGAAAGACAGATTGAAAGGGCTAATTGAGTACCTAATAAAATGAGTGGAATTTTTTTTTAATTCTTAAAATATACTATGATGATATTTAAGACTATCAAAAAAAGAGAGAGAGGGACTTCCCTGGTGGCACAGTGGTTAAGAATCCACCTGCCAGTGCAGGGGACATGGGTTCAATCCCAGGTCCCGGAAGATCCCACATGCCACGGAGCAACCAAGCCCGTGCACCACAACTACTGAGCCTGCGCTCTAGAGCCCACGAGCCACAACTACTGAGTCCACGGGCCACAACTACTGAAGCCCATGTGCCTAGAGCCCGTGCTCCACAACAGGAGAAGCCACCACACTAAGAAGCCCACGCACCGCAATAAAGAGTAGCCCCCACTTGCCACAACTAGAAAAAGCCCGCATGCAGCAACAAAGACCCAACGCAGCCAAAAATAAAATTATTTAATTGATTAATTATTTTAAAATGATTGCCTATTTAAGAAAAAGAGAAACAGAGAAGATTCTATAAGAATAACAGTTGACTTGCCAACAGAAACACTCAAGCTGGTAGCTACAGGGAGCAGTGCCTTCAAAATTCTAAGTTAACACTATTACCTATCCAGAATTTCATATCCAACCAAGTTATCAATCAAGTATAAAATAAGAATATTTTCAGACATTCAAAGTCTCAAAAAAATTTTACCTCCTGTATACCCTCCTTTAGGAAGTTCCTATAGAAAGTATTCCACCCAAATAGGAGAGTAAAAAAAGAAAAAGGAAGATACAAGATCCAGGAAATAGAGGCAAAGGGTATCCCCAGGCCTGGAAAACAACTCATCCAGATTGGAGCAAAAGGATAAAAGGAAGAAAAATGGAATAAAGGAAATTATATCATCTGATAGAAGGAGGAACATTGTATTTAGATGCTTTTGGAGGGTAAGGAAAGAACTACAAACAGAAACTAAGAAAATGAAGCAAAGGGACAGGGAGGAAATTAATTCCAGGAAAAACAAACATTTGTTCAAGAATTTGTTCATAGTATATTATACTTAGCTCATCAGTGGTGGATTAGGGGCAAAGTAATGGGAGCACTGAATATTGATTTAACCAAAAATTGTGATATCGAAAAATTGGGAGAGAGCTTAATCCCCATCCAGCACAATAGGAAATCATTAAGTAATGTCTAAAGTGATTAATCAAAAGATGGTGGTAAAAGCATTTAATTTAGAAATATGCAGGTGAGAAGAAACAGCTACAGGGGTTAAACATGTCTGCCTCTGGGTGGTAGGCTGAAGGCAAAGGATGAGGACAGATAAGTGGAATAACATTTCTTCATGTAAGTCTTTCAGTACTATTTGGTTCTTAAACTCTGTGTGTGTGTCGCTTTTTTTTTTGACTAAGGAAAGGAGTGCTCTCCAAAGTCACGTAGATTTGGATTTGAATTTGGGGACAACTGTGTTTCTACCTGTGTGATCTTGGGCAAATTATTTTAAACTTCTCAAAGCTCCGTTTCCTCAATTGTAATATGAGGCAAATACTTGATTACCTCTCACATTTCAGTAGGGCTCCTTAGAACCTTAAGATAATGCAGGGCAATTGCCTGGTACACAGCAAAGCCCTCAGTAAAATTCTCCTGCTTCCTCTGATTACCTGGTGCCCCGCACCCTCTCTGGACACCCTGATCTCTCACCCTTCGTCAGTCATTCAATCCATGGTGGATTAAAATCCCCCAGGTGTGTCTGCATGTTGCACCTCACCTCTAATGTAGAATAGAATGTTCGATCTTTGTTAAAGAAAAATGAGGTGACCCTTGACCTTTGGGAAGTGGCTTTGGTGGTGAGGAAATACTGTTTCTTTTTTTGGAGAAACACCAGTACTCTCAGGCCCTGGTGAGCAAAAGCTTAGATGAGAACCAGACATCTCTGAAGCCTCCAGGGCCTCTTTGTTTGTGTCCACAAACATTTCTAGCCTACAGCCTTAATCCCTTCTGCTGGTGTAATAAGATCCCTCAGTTTATGATGAAAACTAAGCTGATGGCACTGTGACTGTGAGTCCAGCTACCTGGCACCCGCAGGTGACAGCTGCACCTCTGAGGCTGGCCCGCTTCCCACAACTCCAGAGCACTGCTGCCTGCTGCACCGTAAACCCTGCCCTGGTGCTGATGTCCCGGCCATTAACTGTTTGAACAAGGAAGTTGAGGGTTTCCTGGTGGAGGTTATTTCTTCTTTTACTGCAGGAATTGCACTATATGCAAAGCACAGGTCCAGGCATGGTGGATGACAGAGAGAGAGATTAGGCCTCAAAGGAGCTTACAGTCTAATGGGAGAGATAAATGTTCACCACCCAGTAGACAAGGAAATGAACTAAGAGGGTGATTGTGGGCTGCATATAGAAGAAGTAAGGTCTCCGGTCTACACACTGGAATGCTACTTTGGAGCTTCTCACGCAGGCCTGGGACCAAGTCAACCCCAGGTCAGGTGGTTATTTTCAAGCAAAAGTAAGTATTCCACAAATATTTGTGATGGTTTATTCTCAGAGTGGCAGTGAGGGACAGCAGTGTGGGGGGCAAGGGTAGCCTCTGGAAAGCTGACAATCCTTGCTGAGGAGAGTAGTGCCTTATGGACTGGATGACCCTATAAACCACTATCCAGGGGGCTTCACCTGGTGGCGCAGTTGTTGAGAGTCCGCCTGCCGTTGCAGGGGACACGGGTTCGTGCCCCAGTCCAGGAAGATCCCACATGCCGCGGAGCGGCTGGGCCCGTGAGCCATGGCCGCTGAGCCTGCGCGTCCGGAGCCTGTGCTCCGCAACGGGAGAGGCCACAACAGTGAGAGGCCCGCCTACCACACACACAGAAAAAAACAACAGAAAAACACTATCCAGACAGGGACATTTGAGAATTAAAGGAGTGTCATTAATAAGCACATCAGGACATCAGGTGTAAACCAGGATCGGCCCTGGCAAACCAGATATATAGCCTCCTGACTTAAAAGTACTTAATAATTAGAAAAGGGAATCGATTCAGTGACTTAGGGACCGATAGAGCTGATGAAGAGAATAGGTTCCCACTCAGCCAGAACAAATAAGTTCATGCAGATTCAGAAGGCTTCTCAGGTAAGTCTCCTCAACACCCTGGTTAAGAAACATTGGGACAACACACCTAGTCTCCCTCTCTCTACACATTTCCTCCTCAAAAAGACGGCACAAGGGGCCCAGTTTTAACTAGTGAAAGGTATCGTCCGCCTCTCTGGTTAGGACTTCTGAAAGAACCTCGCCACCTGAGTTTTGACCAAGGAGCTACTTAAAAATTAAATGCATACATGCTGCTCCACGGGCTCCTTGGCTTCTCTCACTTGGAAACCAATTCAAGGTTTGTTTGGTTTGGTTTCTAACTGCCGTATCAAAGGTCCTCCCCTTGTCAGAGAACTGCCAGCCTCTCTCTGCAAACGTTTTTTTTAAAAAAGGATCTCTTATTCCAAAATCACTTCACAGTGATGTCACAGAGTAGGAAATAAGGTACAAAATACCCCTTAGAACATTTGCTCTTTTAAGCAAGTTGCTGTTCAGTCAAAGAAATTCACATTTGATAGGAGAGGAGAATCCTAGTTACCTGGTACTTCTACCCCACTCCGTCCTATTTTCTGTTAGAGTAGAGGTCATCAAGTTACAGATTTTGCAAGTTAAAATTATACTTATTTACCTGTCCCTCCCTCCAGGCTGTGATCTCCTGACATCACATCAAATGCCTTATTAATATAAAATATCATTAAAATTACCCAAGGTTTGGACATATTTGTAGGGCCTCATAAATGGAAAGCAGACCAGCCCTCATCCCCCCCTCTTGCTCATACAAGCTCTGCTTTCAGTTCTTATACCCAAAACAGCCTTTCCTTTGTGATTTTTATTTATAGCAAAGCATATTCCTCCCAGGCCACCTCAGGCAACTGGGAGCCAGCTTCCTCTCTCTCTTCCCCTTCCCATCCCATCAGAACAGTTTCATTGTGCTGGTTCAGCTCTACCTGCTCTTGTGACCACTGGGTCTATCTGTTAGACGAACGCATGATCAAGAGTCTTCTCCCCAGTCCTGCCAGGCCCTCACATGAATTCTCTTGAATGACTGTAGAAAATGATTCTCTCTTTTTGCCTGGACTGTGTTCCCATTTTCTTCGTCACAGTCAAGTGAAGATTATCACTTCAGATTGTGTCAGTCTCTGACAGACCTCTCCCATGGGGCCTTTCCTTTCTGGCAATTCACTGAGATCCACCAGCCTTATCAAGAAAACAATCAACACATGACTTAAGCTTTAGATTGGATGTGGGTTAAATGCTGGCATCACTTAGTTCGGTCAAGTGACAAATCAAAATGGGAAAATCCAAGCCTTTCAACTATTAAATCAGAGTTCCCACTGTCGGCCCATACTGTGAGTGTTGGTAGGCGGGGGGACGTGTAATATGTGTGGATGACAGAAAAGGCATGCACTAAGGTCAGCTCATAACCAACATAAATATGTAGAAACGTAAAGGCCACTATTAATATGTAAGTACAGGCTCCAAAGATGTTTCAGCTTGGTCTCTTCTTCGTCCCGCTACAGAAACCAAACGATCGTGACCATAAAGTGAGAATGGCATTGGGAAATGGCTTGCGAGGAGATGTGTGGAGAGAATTCATCAAGAGATTTGGGGACATTCACATTTATGAGTTCTATGCTTCCACTGAAGGCAATATCGGATTTATGAATTACACGAGAAAAGTCGGTGCTGTTGGAAGAGTAAACTACCTACTGAGAGTAAGTACATTGAAAAATGAGGGCAGCCAGCTTTCAGCACATGGAGATTTCTTAAAAGCTATGTCATGATGATGTTATCATCAGAATCCCATGCAGTCTCAGAGCCATGGCCCATTCGTATCACCAAGAGAGGTTTTGCTCAGGCTCTGTGACAATGACCTAAAAATGACAGGGTCCTCGAATTTTAAAATATTAATTTCTATTAATAACAACCCATTATGCCTTTGCCATCTGCAACTTCTGTGAAGTCTTCTAATGCCATTTATACTTGTATTTGTTAAAACACCTGAAGGTTACCAGTTCTGTATGTTTACTATACACCGTGAAATGTGGTACTTCCCTTTCATCACACTGTACGTTACCACCACCAGGGGAATTTTTTATACATATAGGTGCAGGGCCCCCACCCCCTGAGCTTTGGATTCAATTGTTCTGAGGGGGGGCCCAGGCATCAGTGTTTTCTTAAAGCTGTTCAGCCAGGGTTAAGAACCACTCCTTCAAGATAACCAGGGTGCATCCGAGTTGTAGGATCTTGTAAACATTTGTTTTCACCTAGTAACTACACCAGAAAGATATTTCTTATGTGTAAGCCAGCTCTCACAGCATTCTCTTTTCCCTCTCATTTTATTGCCTCACCTCCAGACAATCTCTTTGCCTTTTATTGTGCTCGAGCAGTCAGTCTTCCAGATGACCACCTATTCTGCAAAATTCCAGAAATATTCAGCAAATGCTGAACCTTCACTTGCTTGAGCAGTCATTACTGTGGTTATGCCTTGGGCAGCTCATCCTGCCTGGGCATGAAACAGCCACACCAGAGCTCCCAGGCAACCTGTGTCCCCGGGGACTGACCAGCAAAGTACAGAGGACAATAGTCCATGTGCATAAGAGATCTGGCCCAAGAGATCAAATTCCACTACCATCACAGACTAGCCCAAGGTCATGCCCTTTGTGTTACTTAGGCCTCAAATTCAGAATCTATAAAAGAGACAGAAAGAGAAAATATAGAGCCTAGTGCCTGGCCCAAACTCAGTGTAATAAGGGAAGAGAGTTCTTGAAAGGATTACATTAAATAGGATATAACCCAATGCCTGTCATATAATAGCCTTGAAGAGTTATTAGTTGTAAAGTTTATTACTGTTCCATTCCTTGTATTCTGGCCTGATCTCCAGGCATTCCCAAGTCCAAGGAACCTCTCTAACAACAGCTAAACCTACACTACACATGTCCCTCCACTGTGTTCCACACCTGCGCCATCCAATACAGTAGCCACTAGCTACATGTAGCTATTTAAATTATGTAAACTTTTAATCAGTTCTTCATTCACCCTAGCCACATTTCAAGTGCTCAGTAGCCACATGTGTTTAGTGATGACCACGTTGAGTAGTACAGTTATAGGACATTTCCATCATCACAGAAAATTCTACTGGGCAGCACTACTACAGACTGAGAATCAATTTCCTACTCCCCACTGGAATCGCTGCTGAGAGGGTTAATCTTCTCTAGTTAGCATCAGGCCAACCTGAACCAGCCCAAACCTGGATACCCAGGCTAAATGCAGTTCACAACAAGAGAGGGCAGAAAGCTGAGCTGACGCCTGGTGCAAGCTATCTATGTTGTCACTACTAACCCTCAGAAAACGTGAGTTGCAGGGAAACTTTCATTTCAAACTAAACCTGAGGACCCGAGAAATTGATGCTGTATATTACTAGTTCTTTGCTTCTCATCCATTGATTGCCATGTTTTATTGTCAGTTTTTCTACTTTAAACAAAACCATATATTTTAACTAGAAAAAAAGGAAGACGATGACCCTGCATTTGATGAGGAAAAAAGCATTACTTACCAACCCAAATTTTTTTTACATTCTTGCAAATAAACAAGTTCTACATTTGTTGAATATGAATGCTATTTGGTTTCTAATGGTTAACTGCTACTACCAAAGCATATGATTGGTTAATTTATCATACAGATTTGAAAACAAATTTGAAATGGACATAGTAATCATGGTTAATAATTAAATCTAAACACTGCCACATTTGTATTTTGTTGCCAATATAGAAAATAGTATACTTATTGCTCTTACTGAATTAAATTTAAATTCTTATGCCCTTGAATTATAGTAACATGAAATATGGTGGAATTTTAATAATTTAATAGCCATGGGCATGAAACAAAGTATACCATTATATCATTGAATCTTAAATGTATTGGAGAACATGTCCCTGGAATGCGAAACATCTAACAGTAGTGGATAAAGGTTAAACAAGATTTTTTTAATAACATTTTTATTGGAGTATAATTGCTTTACAATGGTGTGTTAGTTTCTGCTTTATAACAAAGTGAATCAGTTATACATAAACATATATCCCCATATCTCTTCCCTCCTGCATCTCCTTCTCTCCCACCCTCCCTATCCCACCCCTCTAGGTGGTCACAAAGCACCAAGCTGATCTCCCTGTGCTATGCGGCTGCTTCCCACTAGCTATCTATTTTACATTTGGTAGTATATATATGTCCATATGTACACTACCACTCTCTCACTTTGTCCCAGCTTACCCTTCCCCCTCCAGTGTCCTCAAGTCCATTCTCTAGTAGGTCTGCGTCTTTATTCCCGTCATGCCACTAGGTTCTTCATGACCATTCATCTGTTGATGGACACTTAGGTTGCTTCCATGTGCTGGCTATTGTAAATAGAGCTGCAATGAACATTGTGATACATGACTGTTTTTGAATTATGGTTTTCTCAGGGTATATGCCCAGTAGTGGGATTGCTGGGTCGTATGGTAGTTCTATTTGTAGTTTTTTAAGGAACCTCTATTGGCTGTATCAATTTACCACCAACAGTGCAAGAGGGTTCCCTTTTCTCCACACCCTCTCCAGCATTTACTGTTGGTAGATTTTTTAATGATAGCCATTCTGACTGGTGTGAGGTGATACCTCATTGCACTTTTGATTTGCATTTCTCTAATGATTAGTGATGTTGAGCATCCTTTCATGTGTTTGTTCACTATCTGTATATCTTCTTTAGAGAAATGTTTATTTAGGTCTTTGGCCCATTTTTGGATTGGGTTGTTTGTTTTTCTGATATTGAGCTGCATGAGCTGCTTGTAAATTATTGAGATTAATCTTTTGTCAGCTGCTTCATTTGCAAATATTTTCTCCCATTCTGAGTGTTGTCTTTTCACCTTGTTTATGTTTCCTTTGCAGTGCAAAAGCTTTTAAGTTTCATTAGGTCCCATTTGTTTATTTTTGTTTTTATTTCCATTACTCTAGGAGGTGGGTCAAAAAGGATCTTGCTGTGATTGTTGTCAGAGTGTTCTGCCTATCTTTTCCTCTAAGAGTTTTACAGTGTCTGGCCTTACATTTAGGTCTTTAATCCATTTTGAGTTTATTTTTGTGTATGGTGTTAGGGAGTGTTCTAATTTCATTCTTTTACATGTAGCTATCCAGTTTTCCCAGCACCACTTATTGAAGAGGCTGTCATTTCTCCATTGTATACTCTTGCCTCCTTTGTCAAAAATAAGGTGACCATATGTTCGTGGGTTTATCTCTGGGCCTTCAATCCTGTTCCATTGATCTATATTTCTGTTTTTGTGCCAGTACCATATTGTCTTGATTACTTTAGCTTTGTAGTATAATCTGAAGTCCAGGAGCCTGATTTGTCCAGCTCCATTTTTCTTTCTCAAGATTGCTTTGGTTATTCCGGGTCTTTTGTGTTTCCATACAAACTGTGAAAGTTTTTGCTCTGGTTCTGTGAAAAATACCATTTGTAATTTGATAGGGATTGCATTGAATCTGTAGACTGCTTTGGGTAGTAGAGTCATTTCCACAATGTTGAATCTTCCAATCCAAGAACATAATATATCTCTCCATCTGTTTGTATCATCTTTAATTTCTTTCATCAGTGTCTTATAATTTTCTGCATACAGGTCTTTTGTGTCCTTAGGTAGGTTTATTCCCAGCTATTTTATTCTTTTTGTTGCAATGGTAAATAGGAGTGTTTTCTTAATTTCTCTTTCAGATTTTTTCATCATTAGTGTATAGGAATGCCAGAGATTTCTGTGCATTAATTTTGTATCCTGCAAATTTACCAAATTCATTGATTAGCTCTGGTAGTTTTCTGGTCGCATCTTTAGGATTTTCTATGTATAGTATCACGTCATCTGCAAACAGTGACAGTTTTACTTCTTCTTTTCTGATTTGGATTCCTTTTATTTCTTTTTCTTCTTTGATTGCTGTGGCTAAAACTTCCAAAACTATGTTGAATAATAGTGGTGAGAGTGGGCAACCTTGTCTTGTTCCTAATCTTAGCAGAAATGGTCTTAATTTTTCACCATTGAGAATGATGTTGGCTGTGGGTTTGTCATATATGTCCTTTATTATGTTGAGGTAAGTTCCCTCTATGCCTACTTTCTGGAGAGTTTTTATCATAAATGGGGGTTGAATTTTGTCAAAAGCTTTTTCTGCATCTATTGAGATGATCATATGGTTTTTATCCTTCAATTTGTTAATATGGAGTATCAGACTGATTGATTTGCATATATTGAAGAATCCTTGCATTCCTGGGATAAACCCCACTTGATCATAGTGTATGACCCTTTTAATGTGCTGTTGAATTCTGTTTCCTAGTATTTTGTTCAGGATTTTTGCATCTATGTTCATCAGTGATATTGGCCTGTAATTTTCTTTCTTTGTGACATCTTTGTCTGGTTTTGGTATCAGGGTGATGGTGGCCTCACAGAATGAGCTTGGGAGTGTTCCTCCATCTGCTATATCTTGGATGAGTTTGAGAAGGATAGGTGTTAGCTCTTCTCTAAATGTTTGATAGAATTCTCCTGTGAAGCCATCTGGTCCTGAACTTTTGTTTGTTGGAAGATTTTTAATCACAGTTTCAATTTCAGTGCTTGTGATTGGTCTGTTTATATTTTCTATTTCTTCCTGGTTCAGTCTCGGAAGGTTGTGCATTTCTAAGAATTTGTCCATTTCTTCCAGGTCGTCCATTTTATTGGCATAGAGTTGCTTGTAGTAATCTCTCATGATCCTTTGTATTTCTGCAGTGTCAGTTGTTACTTCTTTTTTCTTTTCTAATTCTATTGATTTGAGTCTTCTTTTTTTTCTTGATGAGTCTGGCTAATGGTTTATCAATTTTGTTTACCTTCTCAAAGAACCAGCTTTTAGTTTTATTTGCTATCATTGCCTTCAGTTCTTTTTCATTTATTTCTGATCTGATCTTTATGATTTATCTCCTTCTGCTAACTTTGGGGGATTTTTGCTCTTCTTTCTCTAATTGCCTTAGGTGTAAGGTTAGGTTGTTTATTTGAGATGTTTCTTGTTTCTTGAGGTAGGATTGTATTGCTATAAACTTCCTTCTTAGAACTGCTTTTGCTGCATCCCATAGGTTTTGCATCATCGTGTTTTCATTGTCATTTGTTTTTAGGTATTTTTTGTTTTCCTCTTTAATTTCGTCAGTGATCTCTTGGTTATTAAGTGATGTATTGTTTAGCCTCCATGTATTTCTATTTTTTACAGAATTTTTCCTATAATTGATATCTAGTCTCATAGCATTGTGGTTGGAAAAGATACTTGATACAATTTCGATTTTTTTTAATTTACCAAGGCTTGATTTGTGACCCAAGATGTGATCTATCCTGGAGAATGTTCCATGAGCACTTGAGAAGAAAGTGTATTCTGTTGTTTTTGGATGGAATGTCATATAAATATCAGTTAAGCCCATCTTGTTTAATGTATCATTTAAAGCTTGTGTTTCCTTATTTATTTTTATTTTGAATGATCTGTCCATTGGTGCAAGTGGGGTGTTAAAGTCCCCTACGGATTGTGTTACCATCGATTTCCCCTTTTATGGCTGTTAGTATTTGCCTTATGTATTGAGGTGCTCCTATGTTGGGTGCATAAATATTTACAATTGTTATATCTTCTTCTTGGATTGATCCCTTGATCATTATGTAGTGTCCTTCTTTGTCTCTTCTAATAGTCTTTGTTTAAAAGTCTATTTTGTCTGATATGAGAATTTCTACTCCAGTTTTCTTTTGATTTCCATTTGCATGGAGTATCTTTTTCCATCCCTTCACTTTCAGTCTGTTTGTGTCCCTAGGTCTGAAGTGGGTCTCTTGTAGACAGCATATATACGGGTCTTGTTTTTGTATCCATTCAGCCAGTCTATGTCTTTTGGTTAGAACATTTAATCCATTTACATGTAAGGTAATTATCCATATGTATGTCCCTATTACCATTTTAATTGTTTTGGGTTTGTTATTATAGGTCTTTTCCTTCTCTTTGCTTCCTGCCTAGGGAAGTTCCTTTAGCATTTGTTGTAGAGCTGGTTTGGTGGTGCTGAATTCTCTTAGCTTTTGCTTGTATGTAAAGATTTTAATTTCTCTGTTGAATCTGAATGAGACTCTTGCTAGGGAGAGTAATCTTCGTTGTAGGCTTTTCCCTTTCATCACTTTAAATATGTTCTGCCACTGTCTTCTAGCTTGCAGAGTTTCTGCTGAAAGATCGGCTGTTAACCTTATGGGGATTCCCTTGTATGTTATTTGTTGTTTTTCCCTTGCTGCTTTTAATATTTTTTCTTTGTATTTTATTTTTCATAGTTTGATTAATATGTGTCTTGGCGTGTTTCTCCTTGGATTTATCCTGTATGGGACTCTCTGTGCTTCCTGGACTTGGGTGGCTATTTCCTTTCTCATATTAGGGAAGTTTTCAACTATAATCCCTTCAAATATTTCTCAGTCCCTTTCTTTTTCTCTTCTTCTGGGACCCCTATAATTCAAATGTTGGTGTGTTTAATGTTGTCCCAGAGGTCTCTGAGACTGTCTTCAATTCTTTTCATTCTTTTTCCTTTATTCTGCTCTGCATTAGTTATTTCCACTATTTTATCTTCCAGGTCACTTGTCCGTTCTTCTGCCTCAGTTATTCTGCTATTGATTCCTTCTAGAGAATTTTTAATTTCATTTATTGTGTTGTTCATCACTGTTTGTTTGCTTTTTACTTCTTCTAGGTCCTTTTTAAACGTTTCCTGTATTTTCTCCATTCTATTTCCAAGATTTTGGATCATCTTTACTATCATGACTCTGAATTCTTTTTCAGGTAGACTGCCTATTTCTTCCTCATTTCTTAGCTCTGGTGGGTTTTTACCTTGCTCCTGCATCTGCTGCGTATTTCTCTGTCTTCTCATTTTGCTTAACTTACTGTGTTTGTGGTCTCCTTTTCACAGGCTGCAGGTTTGTCGTTCCCATTGTTTCTGGTGTCTGCCCCAGTGGGTTAGGTTTGTTTAGTGTGTTGTGTAGCCTTCCTGGTGGAGGGGACTGGTGCCTGTGTTTTGGTAAATGAGGCTGGATCTTGTCTTTCTGGTGGGCAGGACCGCAACTGGTGGTGTGTTTTGGGGTGTCTGTGACCTTATTATGATTTTAGGCAGCCTCTCTGCTAATGGGTGGGGTTGTGTTCCTGTCTTGCTAGTTGTTTCGCATGGGTTGTCCAGCACTGGAGCTTGCTGGTCATTCAGTGGAGCTGGGTCTTAGCGTTGAGACAGATATCTCTGGGAGACCTCTCATCAATTGATATCATGAGGGGCTGGGAGGTCTCTAGTGAACCAATGTCCTGAACTCGGCTCTCCCACCTCAGAGGCACAGGCCTGACACCTGGCCAGAGCACCAAGACCCTATCAGCCACATGGCTCAGAAGAACAGGGAGAAAAAAAGAAAGAAAATAATAAAATAAAAGAAAGTTATTAAAATTAAAAATAATTACTAAAAACAAAAAATTAAAAAGTAATAAAAAAGGAAAGAAAGAAGAGAGCAACCAAACCAAAAAAAGAAATCCACCAATGATAACAAGCTCTAAAAACTAACTGTAGTTAAAGAAAGAACAACAAGAAAAAAAGCAGACAGACAGAACCCTAGGACAAATGGTAAAAGCAAAGCTATACAGACAAAATTACAGAAAGAAGCATACCCATACACACTCACAAAAAGAGAAAAAGGAATAAAATATATATATCATTGCTCCCAAAGTCCACTGCCTCAATTTAAGATGATTATTTGTCTATTCATGTATTCCACAGATGCAGGGTACATCAAGTTGATTGTGGAGACTCAATCCGCGGCTCCTGAGGCTGCTGGGAGGGATTTCCCTTTCTCTTCTTTGTTCGCACAGCTCCTGGGGTTCAGCTTTGGATTTGGCCCCACCTCTGCATGTAGGTCGCCTGAGGGCGTCTGTTCTTTGCTCAGACAGGATGGGGTTAAAGGTGCAGCTGATTCAGGGGCTCTGGCTCACTCAGGCCAGGGGGAGGGAGGGGTACGGATGCAGGGTGAGCCTGCAGCGGCAGAGGCCAGCATGACGTTGCACCAGCCTGAGGCGTGCCGTGTGTTGTCCCCGGGAGGTTGTCCCTGGATCACGGGACCCTGGCAGTGGCGGACTGCACAGGCTTCCGGGAGCGGAGGTGTGGATAGTGACCTGTGCTTGCACACAGGCTTCTTGGTGGCGGCAGCAGAGGCCTTAGCGTCTCATGCCCGTCTCTGGGGTCCGCGCTGATAGCCGCGGCTCGCACCCGTCTCTGGAGCTCATTTAGGCGGTGCTCTGAATCCCCTCTCCTCGCGCACCCCGAAACAATGGTCTCTTGCCTCTTAGGCAGGTCCAGACTTTTTCCCAGACTCCCTCCCGGCTAGCCGTGGCGCACTAACCCCTTCAGGCTGCGTTCACGCCGCCAGTCCTCTCCCTGCACTCCGACCGAAGCCCGAACTTCAGCTCCCAGCCCCCACCCGCCCCGGCGTGTGAGCAGACAAGCCTCTTGGGCTGCTGAGTGCCGGTCGGCACCTATCCTCTGTGCGGGAATCTCTCCGCTTTGCCCTCCGCACCCTGTGACTGCGCTCTCCTCTGCGGCTCCAAAGCTTCCCCACTGCGCAATCCACAGTCTCGGCCCGCAAAGGGGCTTCTAGTGTGTGGAAACCTTTCCTCCTTCACAGCTCCCTACCTCTGGTGCAGGTTCCGTCCGTATCATTTTGTCTCTGGTTATTCTTTTTTCTTTTGCCCTACCTGTGTACGTGGGGAGTTTCTTACCTTTTGGGAAGTCTGAGGTCTTCTACCAGCATTCAGTAGGTGTTCTGTAGGAGCAGTTCCACGTGTAGATGTATTTCTGATGTATTTGTGGGGAAGAAGGCGATCTCCACATCTCACTCCTCCGCCATCTTGAAGGTCTCCCCTAAACAAGATTTTAAAAGCCCACATGTGATGTGTCCACCAAAACACATGCATGAGAATGTTCATAACAGCTTTTTATTTAATAGTCTAAAACTAGAAACATCCAAATGTCCATTAACAGGAGAAGAGATAAATAAATTGTGGTATAGTCATACAAGGAAAGTTGCATGGCAATAAAAAGTACACCACTGACACAAACACCAACAGGGAGGGATGGATATCACAGACATTATGCTGAGTGAAAGCAGCAGATACTAAGGCATATATTTATTTCACTTATTTGATGCTTAAGACTACTTGATGGCAATAAAAGAATAGTGACTTGACAGAAAGGGGCAGGAGGAAACTTCTTACGGTAATGAAAACGTTTAGTATCTTGATCTGGGCAGTAGTTACATAAGGGTATGCATATGCAAAAATTCATCAAGCTGTACACTTAAAGTATGTGCACTTTGTATGCTTTATGTATGCTATGCCACAATAAAAAACAATAAGTTGTGAAAGAATATGTGCTCAGAATGATCCATTTTAATTTTGCTAGAAAGTCATAACTTATGAGCTGATTAAATATGATGTGGAGAAAGATGAACCCGTTCGAGATGGAAATGGATATTGCATCAAAGTTCCCAAAGGTACAGTGGATTTTTGTTCAATTAACCTGTGCCTTTTCTTACCTTAACCAAGTGACTCTTAAGAACTAACATATCACAGCTAAAATGAACACATGGTAAAATTTATCAGAGTGGGGGAAAAAAAGAGGTTTATTTTCATACTCTTGGAAATAGATAAATTCCAAAAGATAGTAATTTACCACTACACGTAATATAACTATAATTTGAAAGCTAGCTTAATAATTTCTTGATTATGAGGTAAGCATTTTGCAGAAGCGGATATGTAATTATGGTTGCAAAACTACGGTTAGCTTTAGCGGACCTTTCCTTTAAGCTTAAACTACTATGCGTTTGTCTAATTGTGTGTGTAAATCATTATTCAGTGAAAGATTAGTATTAAAAGAATTACAAATGTGTGACCATAGAGAATAATGTACTCTGTGTGTGTGTGCATGGTGTATATATGTGTGTATATGATATACATGGAAATACATGTACACATGCATGTAAAATGACTTCCTGCAGCCAGCTTGTTGCCACTGGGTTGTATGGCATCAGTTTTAAAAGGTTAATACTAAAAGTTGCCTACTGCTGGTACATAAAATAACAATTTACTTTCTTCTGTCTTAGGTGAAGTTGGACTCCTGGTTTGCAGAATCACACAACTCACACCATTTAGTGGCTATGCTGGAGGAAAGTCTCAGACAGAGAAGAAAAAACTGAGAGATGTCTTTAAGAAAGGAGACCTCTATTTCAACAGTGGAGATCTCTTAATGATGGACCACGAAAATTTTATCTACTTCCACGACAGAGTTGGAGATACATTCCGGTTGGTTTCTCTGAATTATTGAGCCGAAAACAAACACATGCACAGTTTGGCTTACTCCTAAATTAGAGTCGCATTCCACTTTGGTTATGGTACTCCATTTCCTTCTGTCTCTTTGGTGTGTCAATTCAACCTCCTGTATTCCCAGAAAACAAGGCGCAAAATACACGGGGTATCACTCTGCAATGCATAGTTATCTTGGTTGAGCAACACCAGATGAAACTAGGAGAGAAAACCTGTGTCTGATTTTGGGCACCTAAATAACTTAGTCCATCCAATTCCTCCCATTTATCCTCAATTATTACCAGTCACTCAGGTCAGCCAGGGATTTTCATACTGTTTCCAATCATGAGGCTTTTTCTCAGATAAAATCAAATGCAAATTAATGTGAAGCTGATCTAGTTGAAGAGGAGGTGAGGGTTCTGAGCCCCATCTGCTCCTGTCCCTCCCACTCTCCATTCCCAACCAGATGGTTTCCCACAGAGCCCACAAGTCAGCACAGTGGAGTTTGAAAGTCATCGTAATAGACCATGAAATTAATTCTCAGCAACAGCATGGTCCTCCAGCTTCATGACACTTCTGTTTAACCAGCTTCCTTCCCGTATAAACTCTCTCAGGCCAGACCCTGTGTCTGCTTGTTCACCCCCCAGCACCTAGTACAGTGATTACTTTTTGCATGAATGAATGAGGAAGAGATGGAAGTTGTCTGTCTGTAGTAGAAAGAGCATGGATATGAATGAGAAGAACTCAGCTCCCAGGCTTCCTCTTTACCCCTGAGCAGCTGTGTTATCAGGCAGGTAATCTTTCTGTACCTCAGTTCCTTCACCCATGAAATGAGGGTCCCAATGATCCTTACGGTTCCTTCCATCTCTAATATCCCATGACTCTGGATCTATATCATTATGTTATGCCACCTTCATGTTACTAAAAAAGATACTTCTGGGAGATCTAAAGAATTTTTAAATGTAAGACAAAATTTAACTCTTTATTCAAAGAAAAAGTAGCACCTGATTGGGCACTAACATTATTCTCCCTACAAATAGAGTATGATATTTTCTTTCTTATTAAAAGCTTTTTCATTGCCATAAGACCCTGAAAAACAAGTATGAAATTCTAGTTAATAGACATTTACTAACTGAATTAAATAGCAGCCAAAGTTAGTGAGTGAGGGAAGTGAGAGACTTAAACACAGCAAAAAGTCATGGAGATTTATTTTTGATTTCTAGTGCCTTTCTTAGGCCAAACCCATATTTTAACATTAGAACATCATTCTGTGTATCACATTTCATGTGGCAAGGTTAAAATTCCACATTTTATTCTTTAGGTCTATGCCTTTGTCTTTCATGCCTCAAGCAGGGTGCCTCTCCCATGACTAAGTTGGAGAGTTTGGGGGCCAAGGTGAGGAAGACAAACGCAGCCACCCCACAGAGGTCTGGAGGAAACACCTGTCACAGACAACCTGCACCGCAGACCACCAGTGACCTCTGCTAACCTTGCCTTTTCTTCCAGGTGGAAAGGGGAAAATGTGGCCACCACTGAAGTTGCTGACATAGTAGGACTGGTTGATTTTGTCCAAGAAGTGAATGTTTATGGCGTGTCTGTGCCAGGTATGCACAAGATATTATAAATCAATGCCAAAACTCCTACACTAACAGAATATAATTTTAACCCCCGTGCAAAGTTTGTCATCACTTCCTCCTGCCAGCTGGAGAATCAAACAACTCTTTCCCAGCCTCCTGGGAGTAAGGGGCTTATGTCTGGTTTATGTGCCATTATAAATCAGACAGGTCAGTACATCTGAACCTGGCCTTCCTCTGTGGTTCACTCCCCAGCTGTTCTTGGGCTCTCAAGCAAGCCAAATCTCTCCACGATGCAGGGTCCATGCAGCATTTGGCATGCCTCAAGAAAAGAGGTATCATGCTTGAGAGCTTGGAAGTGGTATCTTGGCCTCTGAACTGGGAGGCACAAGTAAGAGCAAGTGCCGTTGCTAGAGGAAAAAAGCCAGGAAGGAGCTGATTTTTTCCAGACTCTTCTTTTAAACCAAGTCCCTGACCCCAGCTTGCTCCACTGAGTTTCAGAATCATCACACAAAGTGCTGTCACCAAGCCTCTGTCTGCAGATCTGCCTCTGCCAGCAGAGTGGGGAGGGTGAGGTCTGATTTTGGGTCCTGGCTCCAACACCTGCTGGCTGTTGGACTTCACGCAAATCACTAAATTAGAGATAATACCAATCCTGCAGTTAAGATTGTCGAGAAAACTAATTCATTTTAATTACATAAATACTAAATGTATATTTATCAGACACGTACATGAGGGTTGTCATGAAAAGAAATCATTTTAATTATAGATGTCAGAGAGGATTAAAACTTCCAAATCACTATCCAAATATAAGGTACTAGGGGAATCGGTATTCCCTAGAACTCAGTATTTGGGATTCTCATCTATACTCAAAATGGAAATCCCAAAGTCCCTTTTACCTGAGCTATGATGGTTTCACATGACATTGTGCTGGCCTTTTATTTTTTAAAGAATATTTGAGGCTTTCTCTTGCCTGCTCCTCTCCAACCCGGTGACAATGACTTGACAGGAAGTGTAGCCACATCTCAGGTCAGAGTCTGAGGGGTGCAGAATACTTCTCATGTTGGATTTCAGGCTGAATTAACACAAGGGCCCATATTGTGGTTGTCAGCCATGGCACCATGCTGGCCTCTCACAGACCCCATCTGGAATATGTTGCATGCCCTTCTAAATGCTGGAGTTTTTAAAGTAACAGTACAAAAGAATGAGTATGAGAAGGTAAGAGAATATGGGAAATGGAATGGAAAGGCCTAATCCACTGCTCTTCAAAGTGGTGTCACCTACAAATTGGCACTCGCCATCTGCCTCTACAAGGATCAAATTACGAGCCGCTGCAGCTGCAGACCTTCAACACGCCCTGAAAGGAGTTCAAGGTGGACATCAGGAATGAGGCACTCTGTGCTCTGGGAAAAACTGGCAGAACAGGTCTTCAGATAGATATTTTCAGGAGAAGATTTTATGAGCCCAATTCTTGCATCTCCTCATATCTAGAAAAGCACTAAAATCCTTCATGGTGACATCTGCTCCTCGTGACTAGCAGTGTCCTTCGTGAGACTAGCAGATACCTTCTGCAAAAAATATGTGCCTGGTTGCATGTACTCCCCCCCTTCACTAAAATCCCATGTGTACTGACCTTCTGCCCTACCTCTTTGGAGCAGTTTCTCAGAGCTATCTGAAATGCTGTCTCCCAGGCTATAGTCCTCATTTTGCCCCCAAATAAAATTTAACTCACAACTCTCACGTTGTGCATTTTTTTCATTTGACAGTAGGGTCCCTGGGCCAGCAACAGCATCATCGCCCAGGAGCTTGTTAAAAATTTAATATTTCTCATGTTAAAAATGCCCACCCCAGAACTACTGAACCAGAATCTCTGGGGTGGGGCCCAGGGAGCTGTGTTTTAACAAGCCCTCCAGTGATTCTTAAAACAAATGAAGTCTGGTTTTGGAGTGATGAAAATGTTCTAGAGCTAGATACTGGTGATAGTTGCATGACATTGTGAACGTACTAAATGCCACTGAACTGTATACTTTAAAATGGTTAAAATAATGAATTGTATGTTTTACCACAATTTTTAAAAAACACTGAAGTCTGAGAAGCCTGGAGGCCTAGTGGTTCTGAAAATTTAGCCAGTCATCAGAATCATCTGGGAAACTTTTTAAAGCCCAGATCTGGGGTTTGGGACTAAATCTTTGTGTCTTTTTTAAATTCCCAAATGGGTCTACCACCCAGTAAAGTTTAGGAGCCATTGATATAGAACAAAGAAGAGGAGGCTAATGGGTTTCAAATGATTGGGAGACAAGTCAGGTAGAACAAGGAGCAGCTGTGTTTATGTTGCACTGGAGAGCAGAATAAAACGGATGGATTGAAATGACGAGGGAGCAAATTTTAGCCTGAGAACTCTCCTGTAGCCAGAGGGACCAACAACAGAGTGGTCTGTCTCCTGAGGTAGACAATGTCCCACCAACTGGGATGTGTAAAGAGGCTGGCTGTCCACCTGGGATCCTGTAAGAATTCTTACAGCAGTGAAAGATTAGAGATGAACCCTAAAGTCTCTCCTATTTTCAGATTCTGTGATTCTCAGTGCCACTCTTGCAGCCTAGAAATGTGGCAGATCTATCTAGAGAAAGACATCAGTCCACCAGGGTGATTCTCACTACCGAAGGGCTGAACAAGGCCTTCACAGAGCTCAGCTTTGGACCAGGAAGAAACTTGTAAGTTTGGGCCTAGACTAGAGATGACATCAGAACTGCCAAACTACTCTCTAGAGCTTTATATTATCAATAGAACTTTCTGCAGTGTTCTGAAAATGTTCTATATCTGCACTGTCCAGCATGGTAGCCAATAGCTACCATATGGTTGTTGAGCACTTGAAATGTGGCTAGTGCAACTGAGGGACTGAATTTTTCATTTTATTTAATTATAATTAATTTTAATAGCTACATGTGACCAGTGGCCACCATATTGGATAGTGCAACTCTAGAGAACCTCTGGCCCGAACTGCTGCAGACAGGAACCTTCCCCCTGGAGCTGAACTAGCCCCAGCCAACCTCTGGGAGTCAGGACAGAGACCTGAGATCCAACAGCCCCATTTGCCTCTCGGTTGGGCATTGCCTCTGTCAGAGCAAGAAGCAAGGAGCCAGTCGACTCTGAAGATTTCTTTTGCATCAGCCTCTGCCTTAATTCTAAAAGGAGCTCATTGGAGACATTCAAGATTCCTGAGACCGGTACCTTTGAGACAGCTACCAGGGACCCCTAGAGAAAGAGGGTATGGTGCCCTGCCTCCCTCCTTCAGATATGAGGCAAAGCAAATGAGGATGCATTTCCTTTCTTATAATTTTTCCTCTTGTTTTCTGACTTCTTTAGAGTCATGGGAAAACACACAACCACCATGGGAGAGATTTTGAAAGCTGGGGCCCAGGTGACGAAGGGCGGCTCCTTCCCCCTCTCTGATTACAGTTAAGTAGTTCAGGGAAGTGGACCTGGACTCCCACTGGGTCTGCCCGATCACGTAGAAGAGGTATTAATATGTAATTACCACTGTCCTCACAAGAAAGCAATGGTAATTGTTCTAAACACCGGGAAGAAAGAGCTGTTAGGATCTGTTTCCCCTGTGGAGAGCACAACCTCTCTGGACTAGAAGGCATCCAGGTGGGGAGGTGGGGGTGCAGTGGGCACATACCTTGATCTGCCTTCACCCTCCTGTCCTGCAGCCTCTCTGAAATGCAGAGGCAAAGCTATTAGGAACCGTGATTATATGTCTCAGAGGTGAACATCTGTGCCTGGAAGCACAATAGACCTGACCTGCGACCCAAAGAACCACCTGAGCCCAATTATCCTTGACAGGGGAGCAAGGGTTTTTCACCAGAATCCAAAAAATTTTTTAGCCACTAATTCAACCTTTTTCCCATTCTGGTGTTTACATCTAGGCTGCCAAGAAGGATGATGTCAATAAGCACAGGATCTTTAGCTAGCCTGCCTCAATTCCATTTCTGGCCCTGCCTAGTATTTGCTGCATGAATTTGAACAAGTCTTTTAATGTCATTAAGCCTCAGTTTCTTCACCTGTAAAATGGAGATAACCTTTGTACCTCTTCATAAGGTTGTCGAGGGTTAAATAAGATAGTACATAAAGCACACTTAATAAAGGACCTGGCATGTAATAAAGATTCAATCAATGTATAGCTTGTTGTTTTGTTGTTATCTTTAATTCACTTTAGAATTTAACTTCAACATATATTTGCAATAAAAATTCCAGCTATCCAAAAGAAACCCATGCCATAAATCTGTCTCAGTTCTCTGTACTTTGACCTAGCAAAGGTCATTTATTTTATCATAAATAAAATAAATAGCTACAACCCACCTAATTTTTTCTCACTTTAACTCTAGGTCACGAGGGTCGAATTGGCATGGCTTCCATCAAGATGAAGGAAGACCATGAATTTGATGGAAGGAAACTCTTTAAGCATGTGGCCGATTACCTGCCCAATTACGCAAGGCCCCGGTTTCTAAGAATACAGGTGAGACCCCTTGTTATAAAGTTCAGTTATCCTCTCTCTTGGAGACACCTGAGTCTAAGGGAACAATTCCTCTTCTACCATGGGAGCACAACGGCCAAATTTTCACTACTCTTTCAGGAAGCTAAATGAGGAAGCAGAAATACCAGAAAATATAGCTAGCTGAAACCAAATCCTAATCCCTTTTTCCCTAAAACCACAGGCAGTTCATTCAGCAACAGTGTTAGCAAATAACTCACAAAGTCTGTTTGATGAGGTATAACAAACACATAAAATAGAAATGCTCTGACCCTCTTACTTATTGTTTCCAGTTTTAAAGAATGGAAAAATTCCCTGAGGTCCTGCACCTTTCTGTGATGTGAACTTTAATTGGGCATCATTAGCCAGTAGGAACTACCAAAGGCTAAACCGTCACAGATAGAGATTTTTTTTTTCTTTCTCAAACATTAACCCCTTAGTTTAACACTCTCACTTTTGGACCTTGAGCTCTGTGATTCTGTAGCTGAAGATGTGAGAAAAGAAGTGTTAGATTACCAGATATTGCTAAGGTTAAACGGTTATTTCTGTTGATGTTCATAAAACACTGACATGCTTTACAGTGACGGTTGAGAGACATGAAAGTTGAAATATCCTCAGATCATCACCTATTTACTGAAGAAGAAACAAGTCTTCAGTGTCACAAACAGGCTGAAAAAAAAAGTTGTCTGTGTGTACATGATTCCTTTCCCCACCCCACCATTAATCAGAATATTCCAGGAATACTGGAAGCTCACCAAGTGACAGACTCTTCTGCTCCGTTTTGCACTGTCTGCAGACTCTCTCCCCACATGTGATCGTCAAGCTTTAAGGGAAGGAAAAATACCTCCACAGAGGGCCCCCTAGTGGAGGTTCTGAAGACAGGATATCTTGGTATCACACAGAACCTGCTTTCACCTGCTCTCAAATGATTGTTTGATGTTTTTCAGGACACCATTGAGATCACTGGAACTTTTAAACACCGAAAAGTGACCCTCATGGAAGAGGGCTTTAACCCTGCAGTTATCAAAGATGCCTTGTATTTCTTGGATGACAAAGCAGAAATGTATGTGCCGATGACTGAGCACATTTACAACGCCATTAATGATAAAACTCTGAAACTCTGAATATTACCAGGAGGATAACTCAGTGTATTTCTAGAAAGAAACTGAATGGACCTAGTACAGCCACTTGATATAATCCCACTTTAATTTGATTGAAGATTGTGCAGTGCAATTTTTTTATGCATACCAGTAAGGAGAGACTTTTTAAAATTACACCCGAACCTTTGCAAGTGAAAAGACTTATATGTAATTCTTTTTCAATTTGCACCTACTGTTTGTATTTGCAAACTAAGCTTGTTAGAGGGAGGATGTTATTTTTTAAAATATGTAATAAAATAGATGAACACCAACATATGCAAAGGCACTTCTTCCTGACTTGATTCTAAATGCCAACGCTGAGCCTGACAGTATCATTGGCAATTTTTCACAGGTGTCCCCTTTATAATGCTAATGGCATTCTGAGTAAAAAGTGGTAAGGAGTTGGGAGGTGAGGGGGTAGGTTCCCAGTGAACAACCCAATGGAAATCCAGCTCTAGTGTAAGGCCAACCCTACCCCCAGAAGCATCCTGGCCACTGTCTACAGCATTAGCCAACAAGTGATAAAGCCACCCATAGTCTTTGAAGGAGCTTAAGTCTAGAGCATCAGAGCTCTATACATAAAAGGTATCCAGCAAGCTTTTTAGCTATATCAAGGGTTGCAAACTCAAGTGGCTTCAGGATTTGTATTGGTAATGCGGATGAGAAGAGCAGGTCCCAAATGAACGTGGAAAACGTGGGGACAGCCACGACGCAGCTTCAGTCAGCTGATTATTGTCATGGGGCTATAGAGCCCAGGTACTTCCAAGATCTGATTATTCACAAAACAGAAATCCAGATATTTATGTGAATCTCCCAATTTTTAACATGTAAAGTCTCACATTTTTTATAATTTCCACTCACCCCAGAGAAAATGCAACTGTGCACCAGGGAAGTCCCAGAGGTCCAGCTCGCACCCCCAGGCTCACGTGCTCCTCAGTCTAGAGCTGGTTTCACTCCACAGCCAGTCTCCGGCCAGAGAGCCTATTCAAGGACCGAGGGCTTTGGGCGTGGCACAGGAGGATCTGGGAACAGCAAGGAGCTCTCTCAGACAGGCTCTTTGTCCTTACACTCAGCTGCCACCTTTTCTGAGTAGAACCCCATAAGCTCTGCATGTGTCAGTCACAGAGTTCCAGGAGCAGGTCCTTGGTGGCGGCCCTCAAGATGACGTATTCCTTACTAGAGCTTGTCCTAGGTCACAGGAGCATCATGCTCACTAAGTTCACATCTAGGAAGTGTGACTCGAGTTCACCCCAGCCTCCCTAAAACAGGTAGAGTTTCCTTCCCTAGAGAACATCTTCAGACGACCAGGAGCTAGAAAGGAGCCCTAATTCTCCCTCAATTTAGTCCCTAAATTGAAAAGCCCCAGGCAAATGTATTCAGGGATTCTCAATGATACATGATGAGGGGTGGCCAGCCCCACCCCCAACACAGTATTAGAAATATTTTTTAAACTCTCTCCACTTTTTTAGAGGGGACTCCTAAGAAGACTCATGACCAGAATCCCGCTCATTATGCCCAACAGTAAACATTCCCTGAGCACTTAATATGCATGAGGGACTTGAGGATGGCCTAAGGAAAACTCTGGATATCACTGCATCTCTGTGAATTTAGGCAACAATTTAGAACAACTGTTGCTTGTGGGTCAGCATTTGGGAACTTTTGCAAAATTCTAGGTATCTCTGCTTTTGCTTTATTGATCTCCCTGTGAAAATTTTAACCCAAGTGATGGGAAATAGCCCAGCCTTTGCTTTTGAAAGTATAACATTGTGCAATTGTGTTACTTGGAATCTTGTTAAAGTGAATCAGGTTGTAAGCAGAGATTGTTAAAGCTGTGATGTCATTCTGTGTCACAGGGGACATCTTTTTTGGGTGACAGGTCAGCACTTACACCAATATCCAGAACAGTAGTGTTCTGGAACCAAAGCCTGCTGGGGCCTGACCACCTTTGATCCACATCTTTGACTTCCCGGTTAGAAACTCAGAAACTCTCCCTCCCAGCCGGATGGCTTCCTCAGTCTCTCGCTTCCCCAAACCTCCGTGACTGAGGCCAGGAACCACAGCTCTATTGGGACAGATAGAGACACCAGCACGATATCCTCAATACCTGGGTTTGCATATGTATAAACAAAATCAAGCCATCCTGTGACATAATCAACTTTAAAGACAGATTTTTCTCTTTTAAAAGGGTCAAAAATTGTGTCCGTAGAAATGTCTGTACAAGTCATCTTCCTCATTTGAAAGTACAAGTGAGTTTTTTTAATATGCTGATACCCATGTAAATCATTCAACAGATCTCTGATTTCAGGTGTATTGTTTGGAGACATATAATGAGTCTCCAAACCAAAATAATTCGGGGGTAAAACTAGTAAATGTCATCATCTGAAATGGAAGCTAACAAGAATCAGTATAAAAACAGTGACCCTCCCTAAGAGATGATCTCTTACATGTGTTGCTCGTTCCTACATCAGCTCTACGAGCATTTAGTGGGTCCCCGCTAAGGACCAAGAGATGAGCTCAGCGCAGTATGATGGTGTTTTCCAAGCCTCTATCTGGGAAGTCATGTCAGGGTTTCAAAGAAAGCTGACTGGAAAGACCCCTAGAAGGAAGGCCAGAGTCTTTTCCATGTGTTTGAACTTTTCAAAAATAATTATTTTGTCACTGCAGTTGGCGGGACTGCACGAAGACTGTAAAGAGACAGCTAACAGGAAAGGTGTCCCTCAGCATCACTGCGGCACTGTTCTAGGGGAGGCGGGCCGACTGGCCAACCCAGGTCTTCTAGTTGATGTGGGTGCCGTCTCCCCAGAGCGCACAGAGCGCCATGTTGTAATACGGATATATAGCTGATGGTGCATTCCATTATGATTGACAATTTCCCTCTGCACAGACGTCATTCTTCTATGAAGCTGTAAGCTCCATGAGAGTAGAGAGTCCATCTATTTTCCTCATCATTATATTCCCAGTGCCTGGCACCAGGTAGGCAATAATTATCCATTGCTTTTTCATCAAGCAATCCTGATAAACAACTGGTTCCCTATGCAAGCTTTGCTATATGTGCGTGGGCACTGGAGGAGGCATGTTGGAGGCAGAGAGGATGAGCTAAATAGATGGTCTGAGTCTCCTAGTTCAGGCACAGCAGTGAGTCTCAGACTTGAGCACTGATGAACTGGGAGACTGGGATTGACCTATATACACTAATATGTATAAAATGGATAAGGAATAAGAACATGCTGTATACAATAAATAAAATACAATTCAAAATATACCTTAACTCTTAAAGGTATTTTTCAGTAGTTGAATTTATAATGAAGAGAGTGACACTTTCATCATAATAGTCATTAATCTAGAGAAAGAATTTTGTAAGAGAGGACTTAGGAGATTGATATAGTCTAAAATAAACTATTTAAAGCTTAAAAAAAAAAGAAAATTGAGCACTGAGAGTCACCTTCACCAAGAAGTTTTATTAAGACAGAATGATGGGCCCATTCCCCAGAGTTGAAATTAGAATTGGAATTTGCAGTTCTAACAAATTCCCAGGTGATGCTGGTGCTGTTGATTAGGGGCTGCATTTTGGTAAACCACTGACAGAAAAACATCCCGCGTTACACATCATGTGTGCTTAGTTAGTACTTCACTTCCTCGGACATGGATTATCTTTTATTAACTGAAGCTCAGATCTTAGATCTGGTGGGACTCAAAGTGCAGGCATCAGGAAAGGCCTAGTAGAAAGCAGCACTTCGTCATCTTCAGCCTGCAATTGTTCTTGAAAACTCACATTAACAGTGTCTATTTACTAGATACACAAATACGTATTATTTGCTACAGCAGAACTAAAAGCAATCCTAGAGAGTGTCTAGTCAAACCTCTTTGTCTGATAAAAGAAAAAAAAAAGCCTGGGGAGGTGACGTACATGCCTAAAGTCACACAGCTCATTGGCATCGCTAAGCTCCCGCCTAGCACTGACAGAAGACCGGAGAGTGGTCCCAGACCAGCAGCATCAGCATCAGCTGGGAGCTTGTCAGACATGCAAATGACCAGACCCCACCCCAGACCTACTGAGTCAGAACCACTGGGGATAGGCCCAGCAAGCTACGTTTTAACAAGCCCGGCTGGTGACTCTGAAGCAGGCTCAATTTGAGAACCACTGGCTTGGAGCAGGGCTTCTCAAGTTTTAAGGTGCATAAGAAGCACCTGGGGATGCCACTGCTTCTACTGCCCACATCCCTCGGAACAGCAAGCAGCTCTAGAACAGTACTTCTCAAACATTGCTGCACATTAGAATCACTTGAGGAGCTGTCAAAAATCCCAAAGCCCAGGCCCATCTCATAACAATTAGATCAAGATTTCTGGGAGTGAGAGCCAGGCATCATCAGTACTTTTTTAAAAGGCTCCCAGGTGATTCCAGTATGCAGCAAAGTTCTGCAACCGCCAATTGAGAGCAAGGGTAATAGAAACTATAAGGTCTTGACAAAGATTCTCTCCCCGACCAAACTCTACCCAGGCTCCTCTGAGCCCTCCTCCCTACTAGGCCTCAACCTTGGCCTATAAAGACTTGAACAAAACAGTATCATAATTTCTAACAGCTCAAGGCCACACCCCTGGGATGATCCTACATCCCCTTAAAATGCCTGCCTGAGAAAACACGAGGCTGCCAAAAGATTTACCGTTTATTCCAGCCAACACCTGAAGAGAGGGCCCCTGTCCCCCAGCCTCTGTGGGAGGGTAGGAGGCTAACTTCCATAAGCATCAGTTAGCAAACCCAGATGGGCTTCCCATGGACCAACCCCCTCTTCCTGCTTTTTGTAATTTTTCACTTCCCTGACTCTACTAAGTCCCTGCGTGCCTCCTTCCTGTTCCCCCATTCTCCCTCTAAAATGCCCGGTGACCGCTGTACAAATCAAGTTGAGCCCAGTTCACGCCAGACTCTTTTTTCTATTGCAGTCGTTATTACTGATTAAAAATCTGTCCTTACTACTTTAACTAGTGGCCAGCTTTGTTTACCTTTAACACTGTTAATATAAACAGTTTCAGAACCACTCCCTGTAAAAGCACCATCTGAAATGGAAAGAAAATGATTTTTTTGGCCTATGAACTCACCATGGGTAAGCTGCTCGTGAGCACAGCTTTTACTTGACTATAGTGTGCAGGAATAAAAAAAATGTACAAGTTCCAAACTGAGAGAGGGAACATTTAACAGCAGTGAAGGACTAGAGGGGTCTGCTGAATGGTGAACTTCTGATCAAGGACAACCGTGAACGTTATGGTCTGCTGGGAATAGCATGGGCTTTACTGAGGACAAGGAGACCTGGGTTTGCCCACGTATAAGCTGTGTGACCTGTGGCCTCCGTTTTCTCATTTATAAACCGTAAGCCACAGTGCCTAACTCAAGCTGTCTGCCTTCATACCAAGGGCTCCTCCAAACTCTTTTTCTCACAAAGTCAAATCTTCAGCATACTAAAAAGCAAAATCCCTAAGTACATTCATTTAGGTTCCAGAACATGCCCTGGTTAGCTAATCCTTATTTCAGTGGTCAGCAAAGGAAACCATAAACAAAATGAAAAGGCAACCTATACACTGCAAGAAAATATTTGCAAATGACACTACCAACAAGGGCTTAATTTCCAAAATACAAAAGCAGCTCATACAACTCAGTAACAAAAAAAACAAACAACCCAATCTAAACAGACATTTCTCCAAAGAAGACATACAGATGGACAAAAGGCACATGAAAAGATGCTCAACATCACTAATCATTAGAGAAATGCAAATCAAAACTTCATTGAGGTATCACCTCACACCAGTCAAAATGGCCATCATTAAAAAGTCCACAAACAGTAAGTGCTAGAAAGGATGTGGAGAAAAAGGAACCCTCCAACACTGTTGATGGGAACGTAAATTGGTGCAGCCACTATGGAAAGCAGTATGAAGATTCCTCAAAACACTAAAAATAGGGTTGCCATATGACCCAGGAATCCCACTCCTGGGCATATATCTGATTAAACTATAATTCAAAAAGATACATACAACTCAATGTTCATAGCAGCACTATTTGCAATAGCCAAGACATAGAAACAATCTGAATGTCCATCGACAGATGAATGGATAAAAATGTGGTACATATATACAATGGAATATTACTTGGCCATAAAAAAGAATGAAATAATGCCATGTGCAGCAACACGGATAGACCTAGAGATTATCATACTAAGTGAAGTAAGTCAGAAAGAGACAAATACCATATGATATCACTTATATGTGGAATCTAAAATATGACACAAATGAACTTATCTATGAAACAGAAACAGATTCACAGACATAGAGAACAGACTTGTGGTTGCCAAGGCATGGTGGGGGGAGGATGGTTTGGGAATCTGGGATTAGAAGATGCAATCTATTATATATAGAATGGATAAACAACAAGGTCCTACTGTACAGCACAGGGAACTATATTTTACCCTGTAGTAAACCATAATGGAAAAGAAAAACAAATATTTCAGTGGTCAATTAAGTGACACAGGATATGCTTTTTTCAGGGACAAGCACAATTTATTTCCACATTATATTTCATGAAACTTGAAAGTTTCAGTGTCACAAGCTAAACCACAGAAGCTGCCTGTCAATACACCACCCTAGACCCTTTCTCTCTAACCAGCGTGCTGGAATCTTCTGGATCATGCTGGCTTAAACTCTCTATTTGTATCCTATCATAGGTCATGAACTTCTATGAGAATCTGATAAGAAATCATTGGCTTTCTCCCAAGAAAAATGCACATAAACATAAGCACATAAATTCAGCATACAATTTTGAGGGCTTCAGAGACTCCCTGAAACACATTCATGGACCCTGGCTGAACCCCCTGGTCTAAACTGTTGCCTGCAGAGGGCAGCAGGGCAGCTGGAGCCCACATTGAGAACTGCATTCAGGAAAGTTGGGGACACTGTAGAACTTGATTAGTTTTCTGAAGGCACTTTTCTTTAGCATCATCATCTCTTCTGGAAACCTAGAAAAGATTCTGACCCGGCAGGAGCCGCCATTCTTCACAGAGCCATCTGTGGGCAGTGGCTTCTGATCGCCTACAGGCACGCTGTTGCAACTGAGGGAACGCACTGCCTTCTTATTCTGCACAGACAAATAATTGAACAGGAAGGAGGACAGCTTGTGCTTGGTGAGGTCTGGGGCCTCTTCTGAAAAGCAGTCATCAAGTGGGTCCAGCAGGGTTTCAAGGTGGCGGCTGCCTTCCCTGCTCACGGGACTGGCTCCCACATGTGGAGGCTGCTTGATGATCTTCCTGGCCTGGTCTGGGTCATCTCCTGCCCTGCTGACAGATGGAAAGGACGGTTCCTTGGCCAAGGCTCTGGGGCCCCTGGTTTGGGGGATGAGGTTCCCCCCCTGAGGGCTAGGCTGGGAAGTACAATGCTGACTCAGGATGAGAGTGGCAGCATCATGAATGAGATTCCAGTCTCTCAGGATGTCATCCCTGGTGGTGAACTGGGATGTCACAGTGAAACGGATAATCAACTTGTCCTGGATAGTGGCTGGGATGAGAAAGAGACGGCCAGCTTTAGCTATTTCCTTTAACACACTTTCTGTGAGGCAATTAGGACCCTGTTTGAAGGATAAAGAGAAGTAAAGTCTGTATCACATTCCCTGTAAGCATCTCCAGAAGCCCAGTATTTACATTTCCAAGAGGCTGAAAATTACCAAATAACACCCTTCACATGAGATGGAAGATGGCATTACCTTTAGACGAAAAACCACCAGGCCAAGGTGCCTCTTGGCAGGAATTTCAAAGAAAGGTTCGTTTCTGACCAGAGATTCAAAATACTTAGCCATTTCAGTACCCTGGAATTGTGAACATCGAGAGAACTGAGATTAATAACAGGCAAGAGATGACCGTGCGTAAACTTCCACACTGTTAAACGGGTTTAAACCAGTCACATCTTTGAACCAAAGAGACCTAAGTGGCTTCTGCCTGATTTTCTTCTCCATTTGATTTTGCTCATATTCCAAACTATAAAACCTCCAATGGCTCCCTATTTCTTGTCACATTAGCTCCACTTTGAGAACTCATGTCTCAGGGACCTCTTTCAATCCACTCCCAGAACCAGAAGGCTTGTGGGATCCTAGTTCCCCCACCAGGGATTGAACCCGGGCCCTCGGCAGTGAAAGCGTGGAGTCCTAACCACTGGACCACCAGGGAAGTCCCAGAAGACATGTGCTTTGCCATCAAGGATATGCCCTCATATCCCGGCTTCACATATTTTGGCTTACAGACAAGCCAAGAGGGCTAGCAGGGGCCACAGCCCAGCCCAGGTTCTGCATTCCCAGCCAGGTGCCTCTTACGGGCTACAAATGCTCAGAGGAAGAGATTTTTGTTTCTCCTGTACATAAAGGCACCATGTGAGCTGTCAGCAGCCCTGCCCCCATATCCTAAGTTGACATCTTCCCCTTGCCTCTCAGACCTTTTCACCTCAAATGCCCCTCATCCCCTTTTTTCTGACATTCCACAAAGAACATATTTTTACATATCATACCCATGTACACCATGGAGAAGGCTTTAAACCTGTTTAATGGGTACAGAGTTTCTGCTGGGGATGATGGGAAAAGTTCTGGAAATAGACAGCAGTGACAGTTGCACACATTGTGAGTGTACTTAATGCCACTGAACTGTATGCTTAAAAACGGTTCAAGTTGTAAATGTTACGTTATCTATATTTTACCACAATAAAAATGTTTTAAAGCTTTGTACCATATTAATCTTTCACTGAAGTTATAATTTTTTAATTTCCTCTTTTTTTTACTTAGTATTACTAACTAAACAAGGACAGGACTTGCCCTTTCTTTCATTTTTAAAAATTTCTCCAGGCATCCAGAAGGATCTCAAGAAAATATTTTCTAAGTAATGGCTATCACCTGGTTCTCATACTGGGTACTCTGTTTCAAGAGAAGTCATAGGATTCAGCTAACAAGTTGCTACAAACCCGATCCAGAACCACTTTCTCTCTCTACTGCATGGTCTGTTTAAAATGGTCTCCAATCCCTACCCTAAGCATTTTTCACTGTCAAGTCATAAGGCTCTCTCTGGGAAAGCAGACTGCTAAATGTTTTCTCACTGTTTTATACTTTTGCAGTTTACTTTCCAATTTTGTCATGATTCTCCCGTGTGCCTCCTTCCCTCCAGGCCCATTTCCATCCTGTCCTGCCAATTGTGAGATCTTTCTGTGTAAATGTTTCTCAAGTCTACATGAGTAAGACATCTCAGGTACAGATCCAGAATCAGGCTAGACAAAGACCATGAAACTGATACTTCTGAGCAAGGAAAGAGAGCCAGAAGTCATCTTTGTTCAACCTCTTCATTTTCTAGAAAGAGACAAAGGAAAGTGGCGTCCCCAAGGTAGCAGCGGCAGAATGCAGGTCTCTGGTCGCCAAGCACACCCCCTGCCATGCTCTGTTGTCTCCTGTAACACACGCTCTCGGCAACAAGAGAGAAGAGGGGCCAGAGGAGAGAGAAAAGAGCACAGGCAGCATCCCGCCACCAGAAACCACCTACCTTTATGGGAGATGAAAGCAGGGCTACAACCAGTGCCCTGTACCATCCTAGGGCAGAGGCGGGCAAACTGCAGCCCCCAGGCCAAATAGAGCCCCACCTCCTTCACACCCGTTTTTGTAAATAAAGTCCTTTGGAACACAGCCACGCCTATTTGTTAATGTACTGTGTATGGCGGCTTTTGTGCTACAATGACAGACTTGAATACTCACAACAGAGACCGTATGGCCTGCAAGGCCAAAAATATGTACTCTCTGTCTTTAAAGAAATAATTTACAAACCCCTTTTATTGTAGGTGATAGGAGATGATGGTGACGACAATGCTGAATTATTATCATTAGAAGAAGGAAAAATTGGAGAAGGGGGAGGAGAAAAGGAGAAGAAGAAGAGGAAAGGGGAAGGGGGAGGAAGAGGAAGTGGGAATAGGAAATATTTGAGTACTTAGTGGAATATTAGGTCTTGCACTAAGTAAGGGCTTTATGTGTATTATTTATCATCACCATAAACCTTTGAGAGAGGTATTATCATTTTCTCATTTTATAAATTAGGAAGGCAAACACGGAAAGTTTAAATAATTTGTCCAAGGTCACCAAACAGTAAAGGGTAGAACTAAAAAATCAAACCTGTATCCCATTCTCTAAAGCACTAATCTATAACAGGGAGATACACAACTTGGTTTTATATGACTTTCAAGAGCTCACATAATAGAAAATAGCCCAGAACTGTAAAGAAAGGAGGCCCTCCTCTCTTAAGCAGGGCAATTACCATCTCTGAGCCTCACCCATAAAATGGGGTTCATCAGGGTGACTGCCCCAAGCATTGTTGTAAGAACCTAATGAAACCCTATAAGTTATTTCTTTAAGACACTGTGCAAGTAAAAATAATTATGATCGCAGTCAAGCTGGAGAGATAAAATTAACTCACATCAAACAACTTCATTTTAGTTCCACCCTTTACTTTTGTGGGACATTGGTAGCTTTTAGAGCTCAGTTTTGTAGGTGTGCTTGAGTAGGTGGTCCTAGGAATGCCGAGCAAGCAGAGATGAGGGCAGATGGAATAGTCAGGGAAGCTCCTGGGAGAAGCGGAACTTAATCCACTAGCAACATTTGGAGAAGAGAGGGCAATGCAAGAGGGCAATGCACAGGTGAAGGTGCAGAGGCACACTGAGGATGCAGCTGGAACGGGTCAGTGAGAAGCCTGAGCTTAGAGGCTGATAACTGGGTCCTCGAAAGCCGGGCCCAGGAGTCTGGGCCTAGTGTAGGCGAAGGGGAGCCGATGGGAATTCAGGGCTTTGAGTTGGGAATTCAGGGCTTTGAGTTGGGAGAGGCAGCATGAGGGTAATTAGCCAGCACCTGCACGTTGAATATCCAGTCCTGAGTTGGAACCAGATGATAACCTGTAACCTCCAGCACCTCATCCCCCAGCTACCTACTTCCCGTCTTGAGTCTGAAGATAGAGAGAGAGCAAAAATGCCTAATGTCCCTGGGTGACAGCCACTCATTGATAAACATCCGGTTAACCAACACCTTGATGTTGATAACAAATGTGAAGTTACCAACAGTAAGCCAATCATACATACTGATTCAACCACTGCACTTGGCCTTGTGTTTGCTTAATGAGGACGGAATTCCCTAGAGGAAATGTGGCCAGGGAAAGACACGCAGAGGAACAAAGGACAACATCTTTGGAGTAACCCTCTTGTATTTGTCAATAACTTTGTCTTTCTCATAGGCACTCATAAAAATGAGAGAAAATTGCTGCTGACCAAAATTCTTAGTTAAGTTCCACCCCTTCCATGAAGCCTATGACAGAGGGACTGTGCCTGTCTCATTCACCTCTGGGTCTCTTTCCTAGCACAATAATTGTGTGGTTGAATTGAGTTGAAATAAATTGTACCAAATATGCCTTCAGTAAATACCTCTTGACATCATGCAGGGATGTTTGTTCCAGACTTGCAGGTCTACATGTCCAAGCCAGGCGAGCCCTGTTTCTGGCATAACCATAATAGTGACTAAAATTTTCAGACAGCCATGACAATCAGAGTAATTTTTTAAAAGATAGGCTCCTACCCTGGCCACAAGCTGCCCTTTGATTTACTTTCTATTTCCTTCTCTGCAAACTAGGCTCTCGGGCCATCCCTCCCCAGTGCTCGATGATAGCAGAAGGGATGGTGAGACAGTCAGGTGGGGGACAGACACCAGACAGCCCTCAGTGTCATGTTCGGCTCAGTGATCCTCTAGCTAGCAAACAGACGGCTGCCCTGAATCATCAAGTCCCGGGAGCTCACAAACAGGCCCAGGCACCTGAGGCATACATCGCACATCCCCCCGGGAAAGGTCTGCAGAGCAGAAACCAGCCTTCCTCCCCACTAGGCCACAAAGCGAGCCTGGGCTCCTCCCAAGGCCTGCCCACTACATACATGTCTGATGTGCGCTTGAAGATTCTTCACCCCGAAGGACCGGATCACAAACCAGAGTTTAATAGAGCGAAACCGCCTGCTCAGGGGGATCTGCCAGTGCTAGAACAAAGGAGCACAGTGCCATGGTTAGAGACAGGGACCCCTGCTCCTCCCACACACACTCCTGAGCTTTATCATCTGTTGTCTGCACAACCCTCCAGGGATGCACAGTGTCACCATGATGCCCGAGGCTGTTGCTAAGGAGAAGCCAAGGCAAGATACACAAAGGCTACCTCGTCATGTGACCAAACCCTTGTCCAAGAGCAGCACAGGTAGAAACCAAGTCCATGACCCTGGACCAAGGAGAAGACACTTTGCTTTAAATGCTGCTTTAAAAATTTCATCCCATAGAGTGTTCTGCCTATGTTTTCCTCTAAGAGTTTGATAGTGTCTGGCCTTACATTTAGGTCTTTAATCCATTTTGAGTTTATTTTTGTGTACGACATAAATCACAGCAAGATCCTTTTTGACCCACCTCCTAGAGAAATGGAAATAAAAACAAAAATAAACAAATGGGACCTAATGAAACTTCAAAGCTTTTGCACAGCAAAGGAAACCATAAACAAGATGAAAAGACAACCCTCAGAATGGGAGAAAATATTTGCAAATGAAGCAACTGACAAAGGATTAATCTCCAAAATTTACAAGCAGCTCATGCAGCTCAATAACAGAAAAACAAACAACCCAATCCAAAAATGGGCAGAAGACCTAAATAGACATTTCTCCAAAGAAGATATACAGATTGCCAACAAACACATGAAAGAATGCTCAACATCATTAATCATTAGAGAAATGCAAATCAAAACTACAATGAGATATTATCTCACACTGGTCAGAATGGCCATCATCAAAAAATCTAGAAACAATAAATGCTGGAGAGGGTGTGGAGAAAAGGGAACACTCTTGCACTGTTGGTGGGAATGTAAATTGATACAACCACTATGGAGAACAGTATGGAAGTTCCTTAAAAAGCTACAAATAGAACTACCATATGACCCAGCAATCCCATTACTGGGCATATACCCTGAGAAAACCATAATTCAAAAAGAGTCATTGCAGCTGTATTTACAATAGCCAGGAGATGGAAGCAACCTAAGTGTCCATCATCAGATGAATGGATAAAGAAGATGTGGCACATATATACAGTGGAATATTACTCAGCCATAAAAAGAAACGAAATTGAGCTATTTGTAATGAGGTGGATAGACCTAGAGTCTGTCATACAGAGTGAAGTAAGTCAGAAAGAGAAAGACAAATACCGTATGCTAACACATATATATGGAATTTAAGAAAAAAAATGTCATGAAGGACCTAGGGGTAAGACAGGAATAAAGACACAGACCTACTAGAGAATGGACTTGAGGACACGGGGAGTGGGAAGGGTAAGCTGTGACAAAGCGAGAGAGAGACATGGACATATATACACTACCAAACGTAAGGTAGATAGCTAGTGGGAACCAGCCGCATAGCACAGGGAGATCAGCTCAGTGCTTTGTGACCGCCTGAAGGGGTGGGATAGGGAGGGTGGGAGGGAGGGAGAGGGAAGAGGGAAGAGATATGGGAACATATGTATATGTATAACTGATTCACTTTGTTATAAAGCAGAAACCAACACACCATTGTAAAGCAATTATACTCCAATAAAGATGTAAAAAAAAAAATTTCATTCCAGGCTGAAATTCAAGATAGGGGCAATACGTTTTTTCTCTAAAAGAACCTAATCTACCTTGAATAGCAGAAAATAGAGTTTGATTTCTCTTCCCCACAAAAATGTAAAGTATAGGGTTCAGGAGCTCAGATGCTGGAGCCTCACAGACCTGGGTTTCTCCTCCATCTCTACCTCTTACTTGAGCATTGCCGCCTCACTGGCTCCTCGTGAGACAAAGAATGAACAGCACCTCCAGGGATGTGGTGTGAGGAGAACCAGGGTGAAGAGTTTCACAGGAAGTTGTCAATAAGTCCTGGCTATTTAGATGATAAAAATGCGAGCCACAAATCACAATGGTGTTTCTGCCTAGAACCAAGATGATTATTATTTAATTTCTCTGTCCTGACCTTATTTTTCCTGTGACATTCTATGCCCTCAGGAGGACACCAGCCCTCAGACTGCAAATAAACATCTATACCTCGGCCTTTGTTAGACTAAAACTGACTCTCTGTTCCTGATGACCAAATTCAACAGAGCTTAAAGTTCAAGGTTTCGGGCACCAAAGGTCTGAAAATTTTCAAACCAATTCCAAATCGATTTCTCTGATCTGTAAACAGAGCAAAGGGTTTAGCACACATTTGCAATTATTCTGATGAGTAGTGTGATTTCTAATGACCTCTTCCTCAAATGTCAGAAAGCATCACCACAATTTCTGTTGACAAAAAATAAATATTTTTCCCATCGAATATTTATCTGTTCCTCCACAGGATTGCCTAATCCTCAAAACTGTGCACACCTTCATCCTTTGTCCCAGTTTCCTGACCCAGGCACAGTTTGGACATGACCCCTTGTCCAACATCAACATTGTTGATGGACAATGTTTCTCTATATCAAGCACTAAGCCTTGGATTTCCAAGCAAAAAACTCCAGGGCTGAGGACCAGCATGGGGACTTTCTTTTCCCTGTAACAGGGAGAGCGTCAACTCCACCCTTTGTTAGATGGACACTCCAGATGGAGACTAATGAATGGATAATAGTGGCCTCTGAAAACATTGTTTTCCAGATGGTTATGGCCAATTGACTACAATAATTCACAAGCCAATTAAATGAGAGGCAGAGATGATTTTAATTTTGATTTCTTTACAGTCTGACCATATCCCCAGCTGTTCCTCTTGTCAGTATTCCAAAACCAATCCATGCTGACCCAGCAGGGTGGTTCTAGCAGATATTTTTCTGCTGGAACAGGAAATTTGGACATGGCTCTTCATTAACTCAAGCCATTCCCAAGTCTCCTCTACATCCTTTCAAGGTTTTGCCGGTCTCACAGCCAAGAACAAGACAATTCCCCCTCCACTAGTTGGGGGGAGGTGAGGGAGCTTCCTGATGTCAGAAGAATCTAGCCCTGATTTTAGGTGGCTCCAGGGCCCAAGGGATGAAGTCCCTAAGTCTTCTCTCCCAGGATGCTGCTCTATTTCTGGCTCATCTCAAAATGACTGGGCTTTTTTTTTTTTTTTTTTTTTTTTGTGGTACGCGGGCCTCTCACTGTTGTGGCCTCTCCCGTTGTGGAGCACAGGCTCTGGACGCGCAGGCTCAGCGGCCATGGCTCACGGGCCCAGCCACTCCGCGGCATGTGGGATCTTCCCGGACTGGGGCATGAACCCGTGTCCCCTGCATCGGCAGGCGGACTCTCAACCACTGCGCCACCAGGGAAGCCCTGGCTGGGCTTTTATTTAAAGCTTCAGCCACCTGGGTGAAAAAGAGCTTGGAGCAAGGGGCAAAGTAGCAGTGAAGACCCCCAGGATCATAACAGACAGCAGCTTCAGTTTTCTAGGAGTTTCTTCGAGACTTAAAAATTAAATCCATAGGATTAGAGGTGAGGGAAGGAAAAGATAAAGTAGCACATTCTGGACCAGTGCTAAGAAAAGTATAATTTAATATTTCTAGAAGTGATCTGGAAGAGAGAGAGCACTGTAAAATCTCCAAACTGATGGGAATGAACCACAAAAAGATCCTAAGATACCGTTGCGGACAAAAAACAAAAACACAAAAAAGTAACATAAAATCCAAAATGGGCCAAGGGAAGAAAATGCTCTTAAGTTACGATGATCCAAGTTCACTTATAGAAAAATGGGCATTGGGCTCCCCTGGTGGTGCAGTGGTTAAGAATCTACCTGCCAATGCAGGGGACACGGGTTCAAGCCCTGCTCCGGGAAGATCCTACATGCCGCAGAGCAACTAAGCCCATGCACCACAACTACTGAGCCTGTGCTCTAGAGCTGGCGAGCCACAACTACTGACGTCCACGTGCCTAGAGACCGTGCTCCGTAACAAGAGAAGCCACCGCAACGAGAAGCCCACACACTGCAACAGAGTAGCCCCCGCTCGATGCAACTAGAGAAAGCCCGTGCACAGCAACAAAGACCCAATGCTGCCAAAAATAAATTAATTAATTTAATTAATTTTAAAAAAAGAAAAGAAAAATGGACATTGTTTCACACTCAGGGGAGAAACCTAGAATTACCCCTAAAGATATCTGGCCCTTGGGCTGCTGTGAAAATTTTTTTAATTCAAAAAGTGCTGAAAACCCATCAGACAGGGCAGTGGAGATCAAAGAACCATTATTCTTCTATTTTTATCAACCTTTGGAGGGTCCTCCCCAACCACTACAAGCTTACTGCCTGAAATTCCAATAAAAAAGCTTTAAAAACAAAAATCTAAAGGAAGTGTGAACTGGTCCGAGGGAGAATGACCAATATAATCAAGAGATGATGCAGTGATTATTTTAGGACTAAAAAAGGGCAAGAAACTTTAGCCCAAGGAGAGAAGACAGAACCATCTCTTCACAAAGAATGACTCCCAGATGGCAGACATGGCTCTCTGTGCTTCACTGTATTAATTCGTTTATTCCTCACAGCAAGCCTAACTAAGAAGCTAGTACTGTTATTATCACCCTCATTTTAGAGATGAGAAAACCTAAATAGCTTAAGCCAGTTGCCCAAGACCACACAAGTTAATAAATGGAGGAGCCAGAATTCAAACACAGTTCATCTGTGTTTTTAACCTCTTCGCTGGATAACAAATCTCTGCAGCTTAAAAGTAGAGCTTTTAGAAATATCACACCTACCATTTATTAAGCATGTACCACATTCCCAGTAAGAAGTGATCTACATGTATGTTCCCATTGCAGCCTCACAATACCCTGTGAAATCAGTGCCACCATGCCCATTTTGCAGATGAGAAAGTCAAGGCTGAGAGAGGTCCACTATGACTCCCAAAAGCCCACTGCTGGTATGGAATTCCAAATCAAGCTCGTCTCACTCTGCCTAGCCTTGACCATGTTATATGTAACTTATTAGTTTACATCCCTGTCTCCCCTACAATTAAAGGAAGGGCTCATCTTCAAACTGAGGAGTAAACCTGAAGAAGTTGTTTCCCCAAGAGATAGTACAGATTGAGAATGTGGGCAGGGTCTAGAGGTTGAGGTGCAGCTAGTGGGCAAGGCAGGAATGCTTGGAGGCATCTAGAACCTCGGGAAGGATAACTATTGCCCCATCCCCACCGTGGAGCCTCCCACAGTGCCTCGATGGGGACAAAAGGATGAAAACAGTTTAAGGAAGGAGCCTCTTTTCCTATCCATGGAAATTCTCCACCCTGCCCTGCTGTTAGGGAGTGAGCAGAGAAGATTATCCAGGACAGAGGCAGAAGGGAATTGGGAGAATTTTTAAATGCCACAAATACTCAGGAAACTCGCATCCTACCTCAAAGGTTGGTTTCATTCTCTAGGGTTTTTAAAGTTTTCTGGGTTTCATTCTATATGCTTAGGCACAGCTTGAAACCAAAGGTACACAGTGGCAATACTATGGGATGGGCTCATCGGGTGAGGGAAGGAGACCCTCATCAGACTCAGGCCGTTTCCGTCTCAAAGGGTGCCGTGCTGCCCGTTCCTGGCCACTCACCATGAAGTCGGTGGCCGCACCCGAGTCGGCATGCCTGAGGTAGACGGGGTTCACGCTGAAGGTCTGCTGCAGCTTGTACTTGTCCTTGACCCTGTGGGTTGCCAAATGGGCATTAGTAGCTGAGGATGGCTTCCCCACAGGCTGGGAGCTTGGCTGCCACACTCACCAGAACCCAGTACAGTCAAAGTGCACCATCATCCACTTGGAAGGATTAAAGGTGAAGGAATCGGCGTACTCGATGCCCTTCAGAAACCCCCGGAACTCAGGGCACAGGAAGGCAGTGCCTGCGTAGGCAGCATCGATGTGGAGCCACAGCCCCTCGTTGGCACCTGAGGAGGCAAACATCACCTACTGGGGGTGGCACTGGGGGTGGGAGTGGGTTGCCACCAGCCAGCTAAAAGGCATCTCTTCTCTGGCCCATCCAGTTGGGGGGCTGCAAGGGAAGGGCTGGGAAAGGATGCCCATGGCTGAATGAGACACGGAGGCATGTGGACATGGGGGGAGGGTGTCAGTGCAAGGAGTGGGGCTGAGTGAGGCACGGCCACCCCTGCAGGGAGAGCCTACAGGGCCTCACCCTGGCCTTTTCTCTCACCGACCAGAGGGTCGACACCCTCTTGGCCTCCACCCAGAGCTTTCTGGAACAGAAACCAACTTACCACTGGCCCAGAGAGCAATGTTAATGCATCTAATACAAATGTTAGAGAGGGGGTGTCTCTCTTTCCTAGTGGGTTTCTCACTTGAGGATTTTGAACAATCACATTTGGGTTTCTTTTCTGCCTTTATCTCCCCCTCACCCCGTGGCTTCCCCTACCTTACCTTTTCATTTTCATTTTCTCAGCCTAGACTAGAAAATATTCCACTATGACTCACTCACCCTGTGTTTCAGATATGTCCTGCTTTAAGCAGATTTCAACATACAAGTGAGAGACCTGAGGTCCTCCCACTGTTGCCTCTGAGGACAGGATGCAAGGGGGTCAGCTCTAACCCTTGGTCCCACCACTGGGAAAAGCAGTGACCTGGCTACCTGGAAGAAGATACTCATGACCTCTGGTGGCTCTTCCTACGCTCTGTGCATTGACCACGGAGGGACCAGAGAATTGCACTGAGCTGCTTCCAGGTTCTTGCTCTAGGGAACATTTTAAAACTCATTACTTGTCTTCCTAGCCAGACAGGGCAGACACTTACAGATGGGGCCCAGCTCTGACAGGCGGTCAAATGCACAGACCCCAGTGGTCCCCAGTGTGGCACAGACCTGGAGGAAAACAGAGGAAGTTAACATGGGAAGGTGGGCTCGTGTGACACATTTGGCCTTTAAAAAAAAGATTTCTTCACAGATATTATCAACCCCACCCATTCCACTAGAACAGGGTATGTTTCACACTGTATTTTACCATGACCCACAGTAAGAAATACATTTTGTATAGCAACCTAGGACATACACACATGTGTATTTGAAATAAAAGTTTTACCAAACAATGCATATTCTCAACACAGGAACGTACTCTCATATTTTCCGTCCTATTCCTTTTTTCTTCTTCTTCTTTTAATGTTGGTTCTGACCCACAAAATTTATTTCCTAGCACACTAACTCATAATTTGTAAGACACTGTATTTGAGGACCTTTCTGCTCTTGTTTGCAGCATGTTACTTACCTGAATTCTGACAAAACTCCTTCCTCACCTCCCAGCTCTATCATTCTAAGCTCAGAACATGGTCTGACTTACAAAGACAGGCACCAAGCCCTGCGCTCTGTCTTCCTCGATGGCTTTCTGAAGAACTTCCCCTCGGAGTGAGAAGTTGTCATCCACAGGCAGAAATTTCATCTTGACCAGAGAAATCAAACCAGCCTTTTCCACCGAGGAGTGGGCCTAGAATGACAATGGAAAGCTGTTAGCAGAGTCATCCTGGAATGAGCACTCCCAGAAACTGCTGAAACCAGACGAAGGGAAGCAAACACAGCATTTGACGTTTGTCTTCCTCCAGGCTTCCTTGGACAACCTCTGAGGCCTGGGCTGCCCTGAACCCAGCGGGCTCATGTCTACAGGGAAATCACTCAAGGACTAAGACTCCAGAAGCCAAGCCCTACCTGAAGGTTTGGCTTATGTTGGGCAACTCACCTGGTCGGAGGCATAGGCAACAAGCCGGGCGTTCAGGGAAGACTCATCCGCCCCAGGCTCAGACGCTTTTATTTCTAGGATTTTGTTCTTCCTTGCTGCCAGCAAGGCGATCAAGGTGGACTCACTGACTGTGCTCTGCAATGGAAGAAGGTTCCCAGTGGCAGCTTCTCCATGTAATCCCTTGGCAGCTGCCCCAGGTTTTGTAGGGGTGTGTGTGTGTGTGTGTGTGTGTGTGTGTGTGTGTGTGTGTGTGTGTTCAATAGCTATTCCTGAGGAAGTACACAGCTCCTGCCTAAGGAGTTGCCCTTCCCCCCAGCTCACATGCCTATTGTACATTCTACATTCACAACTTCCTATGCATTCCTGGGACACCTCCCTCTCCTGTAATTTTCAGGGAAGTAATGAAAGCAAATTTTCAATATCTTTATTAGGCCACAAAGAGCAAAAAGAGAATGTTCAGAGAATGCTAGATACAAGTCTGCTTGTAGATATGTTCGCTCCCCATGTTAAAAAAAAAAAAAAAAAGAACTTTCAATGTATTAGGTGTGGAAATGGAGTTTGTTTCCGCAGAGATATCCCAGAGAGAGAGGGTCCTGGCCTACTTGAGAGATAACTTTGGCCTCAGTTTTGCTGCCAATGGCTCTTGTGACCTTGAGCTAATATTGCCCCTCCAGAAGGCTCCTTTCCATTTATAAAATAGAGAGCATCCCTTTAGCTGCCTACCAGAGTGGGAGTATTGATTAACCAGAAAAGGGTTGGGTAGGATTTTGCTCTGGCCATGATTGTGGGAATCCTGGGGGCCACCTCAGCAACTTCACAGAAATCTTGATGGTTTCTCATCATTCATTTGCTCAGTCTTTGGTGTCTTTGCTTCTTGAAATCCTTAGGTGACCTACAGCTGATTGCTCCCCGCTGAAAAGCCTAGAGACCGTGTCACAGGAAATGCTATAGACCAGATCCCACAAGATAGTCAGTGGCTGAAAATTACTCCACAATAAGGAAGCCAGCAGAATAGTAATAATAATATAATAAGACCACCTTCCATCTGTACAGCTATTCACAGTTCACAAAACACTTTCTGCTATCGCATTTGCTCCTTATCAAACCTGCGACACTTGTGATTCCTGTCTACCTATGAGAATAGTGATGCTCAGAGAGGTTACAGAACTAAACCAAGTTCATGTGGCTGATGGATACAGGAGAAAGCATGGTTTGGATTTAGACAGGGTCAGGTTTGAATCCTCATTCTTCCACTTACCAGCTGTGTGACCTGGAGCAAGTTTTTAACCTCTCTGAGCTTCAGTGCTCTTATTTCAAAAATTGGGGATGACACTATTTACCTACAGGGTTCTCGAGATAATTAGATGAAAAGCAAGATCATGCCCAGCAGGCATTTAGCATGTTTTTCCAGATATAATATTTGAAGCTATAACTATCTGCTAACAACCCAGAAGGTCCACAACGTGCAGTAATTTGTCTTTCTTGTGAGGGTCAGATTTTAATCTTGGTAAAAGACTGGAGTGACAGAGGGAGTCACTTAGCTAGCAAATGGGCCCAGCAAACTTTCCAGTTCTCATCTCAGGGCAGCATGGCTATTTTTATTTAATAGAAGAAATCTTTGAATCCTCACATCCACCTTTTGAAGGAATGATTATTATTTCTCTATCTTATATACCATAAAATCAAGAAAATTACACATTACAGAATAATTCAAGAATCTGGGGGTTCTCAAAGGTCTCAGAACCAAACCCTCATGAATGGCGAGGGTTTATAGATGCAAAAGTACCTAGCAATGTGCACGGTCTACAGGAGGCACCCCTCAAGCTCCACTATGCTGCACTACTCTTGATAACAAAAGAAATATTTGAACAACTGTCATTTGACAGATACTCAAAAGACAGGATCATAAGATACATCAATCTATATTGTTAATTTCTCTCACTGCCAAAAATCTCCTGGACCTAAGAGGGAGGGAAAGAAGTCTCTACTTGCCTTCTCTTTTCTACTTACCATAAGGTGTAAAAGGGGACAAGAGAGGGGAGATGTCAGATTATAAACTAAGAAACTTGAATCAAGTAATACTAGAAATGTGATAATGTGTTGACTTTTTAATTTTTTTCAAAGAAAAACTAAAAGAAGAGTGGAGACAGTCATGGCCATGGTATAAAGGCAATGGAAGTCAAGATGGTAGTGGCAGCAAAGGTGGGAGTGGGGACTGTGGTGGAGCTGGTGGCGTCGGTGATGGTGGTGTCAGTCATGAGAGTTATGATGGTAATGGTGATGGTGCTGGCAGGGATGGTGGTGGTGTGAGTGACATGGGGGAAACTCCATGGAAAACATGAGAATCACCCGGGCAAGTTTGGCTTATCTTTCCCTACTTAGTCCCTATGCTAGGAGGAGCTTTGCCAATGGACGCACCTGCAAGACGCCTCCCCCCTGGCTGCCAGGGTGGTGGTGCAGGAAGTGCTCTGGAAGTCCCAGCATTTTTGCCAGCCAGTCCATGACATTCATCTCCAGTTCTGTGCACACAGGGCTGGAAGCCTGAAAGAGGGAAAGCAATGTCATCTGGAGTGCCCCAGGGCACCAAGATGTCCCCACCAGCCCCAGAAACACATCCGTCTCTGCCTTGACCCTCCCCAGGCCTGTCTTGTCCCTGGAGAAGGCGTCACTTTTAGATCCTGTGGCGCCTTCATCCTCTGCCAAACCAGAAAGGGGAAAGAATGTGGGGCTTTGGTTCATGCCATCCTCAATGAGGTGGATTCTCCTGTGACTCCAAGGCCTGATGGAAAAACAGTCCTAGAAATGATTGCTTCCACTTGGCCCCCAAAGTCCCTAAAATACCCAGCTGGAAAGCATTCTAAAGGCCAGGGGGAAGTTTTAAGACTAAGAAAGAAAGCACTTCCTCCCTGAAAAGATAGCAAGTCTCCCAGCTTCCAACCCACTCCACCCACCCACCCCTACACACACACACACACACACACATACGCGCGCGCGCGCACACACACACACACACACACACACACACATCCTATAACAGTTCAGGCTTAAAATAGAGAGCTGTTCTAGGAGGCTTGTGGCACAATTTAAAGCTGATTGGTGCTTAAGGGGTTATTAAGGGAAGCCTTAGGGCATATCCCTAACCCCTCAAAGACAAGAGCAAGGGGAAGGTTGTACCCACAGGCACCAAAGTGTTTAGAGAGTGTAACAAATTGTGGCAATAACCAGATCTTGGTCCAAATCTCATCTCTGTCTCATGAACTATGTGGTCTTGGAGAGATAAATTACTTAAGCCTTCATTTCTTAATTCGCCCCTACAAAATGGGGCCACTACTCATAATTTCACAGGGTTGAAGAATAAGATGAGATCGTTTTTATAAAGCTTAAGCTCAAGTAATGTAGCCATTGTTAATATTTAACTTGAAACCCTGTTCAGAGATCTGGACAAAATATGTCTGCCCCAGGATTTCACTTCCTGCCATGTCCCCTTTTCCACTGGTTATAGCTGCAGCCATGGTTACTCACCCAGGTAAATCCCAAGCAGTTGATGGCATCAGCCAGCATGTCTCCCAGCAGTGATGGCCAAGAGGTGAGAGCTGGGTAGTAGGCGTGCATGTGGGGGCTTTGCCAGTGTACCACCTGGAAGCAGAGCATGTACACGGGTGGCACCAGGGGCAGCTACCGGAGGCTTTCCTCTTCAAGAGACCCTCCCTGGCAAGGGGCAGCACCCACTCTAGAGACTGGCTGACACTTTTAAGACAACCAACAAGTGGCACAAATCCCTAAAAGTAAGGCATAATCACAGTGTTCTTGCCACCCACGTTTCCCACATTCTGAGCTAGTTCATCAGTGGAGCTTTGCACACACGCAGAGACCAGAAGGGAATATGCAAGATGAAAATTGCTATGGGAATTAGAGTTGTGGATTCTGGGTAGTGTTTGCATTAGTCTCCAAAGCTTACCCCCCGCACTGCTCCTACCCAGTAATAAGAGGAAGGGGAGACTGTGAGCTCTGGAAGAGCAGGTTGCTTGTCTCATCCAGTCTCTTGCAAAAAGTATCCAGAGTTCTTTGGGCATGCACTCTTGCAGAGGGACAGTGCGCCTGGGTTCAAAGCTGTCCTTAGCTTCCCAGTGGGGATGGGGAGAGGAGACTAGAAGACAGAAGTACCAGCCCAAGGGCATGGGAAACTGCCTCCAGGTTAACCCTTGAGCCCACAGTTAGATTAACCGGACGAAAGGAGGGGCCCGTGGACAGGAAGGGCCTCCTACGACTGCTCTCAGAAACATTTTCGGTGGCTCATTGGCCTCACTGATTATCTAATCTGGCTTCATCTCACTGTTCTACAATCATACCCTGTTCGTATCTGCATTCATGTCTTTGAGCAATGCTGTGTCCCCTGACAGGAAGGCACTTCTCATACAGATGGGACCTTCCAAAATCTGCTAACTCTTAGAAAGCCACTAAATATTCATTTCCTCCATGAACCCTTCCCCAGGTCCCCATCTGCCTTTGATCCCTTCCCCCGAGCCCATGGAATGTTCTCATTCGAGATGTTTCACGCTACTGAGAACTCATGAGATAACATTTTAGTGTATTATCGAGTTATTTCATGTACACAAATCCCTTTAACCGTTTAAGAGCAAGGACGGTGTCCTGGACAGTGTGTATGGTAGAAGGAGCATAAGATTTAAGCCCAAGGACACAGGTTCCAGTCCTACCCCTGCAGTAACCAGCTGTGTGACCCCGTAAACTTATTGTGAAGCTAATGAACTTAAGCATCAAGGTCCCATGTTTGCATGTGTCTCTTTCAAGATCCATTCTTAATTTTTTTTCTTAAGGGGGCGGGTCCCAAATTTTTCATCCAATCCCCACCTCATAAAACCAGGATCCTCCCCTGTACCTCTCTCAACCTCAGTTTCTCATCATAAAATAAATCCTGTCTCCTGGGGTTGTTGTGTGGATCAGCCTGGGAGGAAATTTGTAAAATGTAAAGCACTAATGTTAACGGTAAGCTAATCACGTGGTGATGGACATATCACATATCCTGACTTGACTCTTAGATAATCAGACCTCGTCCTCCAACCTTCACCAGGCAGACGGCCTCATAGGTAATGACAATATCTTCCACTTTCTATGCTTTATCTTGTTTAATTCTCACAGCACTCCTATTAGGTAGGTTCTAACGTTATCCCTGTTTTACAGATAACAGTTGGGGCTGGTGGAGAGAGACAGCATCCCCATGATCACATATACCTCATAGGGACAGATGTCAGAAACCCAGGGCTGCCTGACTCTGCAGCCCAGCACCTAAGCAGGGTGGCACCCTGCCTTCTCCCCTTGTTCTACTCTCCCTCCCTCATTAAGAGTAGGTGGGGTTTCTCTAACCAGGGTTGGAATTAAAGCAAAAAGACAGTTTTTCTTCTCCTTGTGTCTAGGAGGTGGCATGGAGGGGAAAATTAATCCAGTTTTAAAGGAGGCGCTGACCCTAATGAGAAAGCAAAGGGCCAACGGCTTTCAGGCCAACTCTCAGAGGCTGTTGCAGCCTGAGAGATGAGATGAAAGATTGGGTCTTCATTACTGATGTGATTAGTGACAGTATTTTGGAAACCCCAGAGAAGGACTTCCACCTCCTGGTCCTATCAAGAGGCAATTGTCTGTTCTAATAAGATACATAAGATAAGATAAGCCAGAGGAATGCTTATCAAAACAGACAGACCTCCTGGTCCAGAAATGAGCCTCTTTAACTGCACCCCCAGCAACTGCTGGAATTTCTTTCAGTCAAATGAATCAGCTCATTTCCATCTCTTCTGACAGCTGCTTTCAGTCTCACTACCAAATTACAGTTGGCCCCTCCACAGATTACATTTTACAGAATGAAATCCATGAGATAATCTTATTGCGGAGCTAGCCTCCCTGGTAGAGTTTTACTGATACCGAAATTTTCAAAATATGCTTACAAAATAGGCTGAATGGTCAGAGAGATGAGTATTTGGCTTTGTACAAACTTGCCATCACTTTCTGTCTGTGTTTGAAAGAAAACAGAAATATCCCCCCCACCCCCGCCTCCAGGTGTATTTCTGTCACATCTAAGTCCAAAGCTCTTTGGGGATGAAGGGAGCAAATATCAAGTCATCCTGGGGAAGAGCTGCTGGACACACGTGGTTCATGACACCAGTGCCCCAAGCAGGGAGACCTGTGACTCTGGGAAGACAACTAACTTCTCTGAGCCTCAGTTTCTTCATAAAACATGGATCGTAAGGTCATTTGGGGATAAAACAAGCCAGTCTACCATGTGGCTAGTACAGTGCCTGGCACGTGGTGTGGAGCACAATAAAAGGCAGCCCTTCCATGAGAGGAGGATGGTGCACTTTCAGCAGGAGCGCCTGGCCCAGCTCCTGGTGGTCGGGGACATTGTCACAGCACACGGCAGCTTCAGCACAAGCCCCAGGCTTCAGCCAGCCTCTGTCTGTTCCCTGGCCCCACTAGCACTGTCACCAGGCTATGCCCCTTGTCACTGAGAGTATAGATGATTCAGGGAAAGCTCCTTCCTACTCCTGAAAAGCAGTTCAATCAGGAGACCTCCCTTGGTTAGGAAGGACGGGGTTCCCACTTCATGGAGGAGAAAGGAGGGGGCTGACCAGGACTCACTCAGCTTCCCGGCCCACCCAACCTGACAACCGGGGTACCCTCGGAGAGGTGTGCTTTGGCTTCCCCCCTTCCTTTTGGCACGTCTCAGGATTCTGTAGGAGAGTTCCCTGGCTCTGCCAACGGGGGCTTCAGGGACCATCTCCCACCTCCTCTCTCCATCTTGCTTCCCACATTCGTCCTTCCCCCTCGGGCCCAATCTTCACTACTCACCTCATCCCATCCGACTTCCACCCTTCTGTCAGACAGGCCCTGGGATGCAGTCCTTACTCCGTCTTGCTCCCTACCCAACTCTACAGGTCAGCCCTGGCACCAGAAACCTAACTTCAGTCAAAGTCCTGGCCCTTCATATGCCCAGAAGACAGTCTGGGATGTCGGTGGCCAAGGGGCTGAGGGCTTATCTTAGGGTTACCCAAGGCTTTCCAGGCCCATCGACCCCCCCCCACCTACACCCCGACATCCAGAATCACCCTGTGGTGACTGCGTCTCACCCCGGGCATGATGATTCGCTCAATGTCCCCAAAGATGCTGTCCCAGCTGTCGGGCTCCTCAGGCGCACTCTCGGGCAGCTGGGCCCGCAGGTAGCCAGGCCTCACATCCGGAGTCACCCGCCGCTCCTGCACGCTGCTCAGGTACTGGCAGATGTAATCCACCATCTCCTTTCCTACAAGGGAGGCAGAGAAGCCAGGCTCATGTCCCCTGACTGGGCCTGGCCAATGTGTGCCCATCGCCCTAGCATCGGGATCAGGAGACTGGGTGAAGAAGGAGAAGGATTCATGGGCTGAATGGTGGAGGGTCTGACCCCCAGCAGACAGCTTGTCTTCAATTAAAAAATTTAAAAGTGTGCAAAGGAGTGAATGAATGATGGAGGCAGTGTGTGACTCTATATAAATGAATAAGAGGGAAAATCTCCAAGGCATCAAGCTCTAACAACAAAGTAAAGGATGTCTTTTCCCTCCCCTTCCCTTTGCCATATGAATCTTGATCAGCTCTCCCACCTTTCTTTTCTTCTCAAAAAACAGAGGGTCTATGCATTCATCACCTTACAGATTCAGTAGAAACGCTGCGGCTCTTTCTATCCAGAAACTGCACACACGCACACACACCCCCTATACTCCTTGTTGGCACAGATGGCAAGCTCCCACACTAGGTTCTGATAAAAGGTAAAAAATGTATTTGTTCACCGTTCCCATTGGACCAGTAATTCCCCACATTTTTGGACCCATGAACTTCTTTGAGAATCTGATTAAAACGGTAGACTTGTATACACACAATTTTGTGTGTAATTTCTGAGGTTCATGGACTCCCCAAAGCACAACCACAGGTCCAGACTAAGAACCCTGCACTAGCCTGAAATCTTGGGGAAATGCAGGGCCATGTCTTAACCAATTTATCTCCCTCGCTCTGCCTCCACCAATACCTCAGTACCTAGACAGTTTTCAGATGCTCAACAAATTTTATCAAATGAATGAATAAAAGAATAAGGAAGAAAGACAGCCAAGTCGAATACTTGAAGCCACTGCAAATTGTCTATTCTTTCTTCCCTTTCATTTCTCCAGGAAAGGGTCTCTGTCTTCAGAGCCTCTGTCTCTTCATCTCTGTCTCTTTTTCTCTCTCTCTCATTGCTTCTCTTCCTCTCTGTGTCTGTGTCTGTGTGTTCATCTCCCCCTCTGTGTCTCTCTCAATATCTATCATTCCTCCTTAGTACTCACTAGCCTCCTTTTCCCCCTGCAAAAGAGCGAAAGAGACAAGGAAAGGGAAGCCGATGTCTTCCCAACTGCATCAGCTCGTGCAAAATTCTTATAAGCAGGACCAGTCCCAGACAAAACTGTGAAAACTTCCAGCACTCTTCTCTCTTCTTTGTGCTCTCCTCCAACTCTCCAACGGCCCGATGCCTTTCATAACTGCAGCAGCATCCTTCCAGAGCTCTGAGAGCCCTGGACCTAGCCCTCCACTTACCCAGGGACCACATGGAATGTTTTTGTGTTCCACTCACAGGATAAACATCCACAGCCGATAAAACCAGCTCTCGGCTGAGTGCCTTTGGAAAGCAATGGAATAAGCTAATGTCCACTGAAGTGTAAAGACTGATAGTCATTCAGCCTGGATGGGAGGGGAGTTTGGGGGAGAATGGATGCATGTATATGTATGGCTGAGTCACTTTGCTGTGCACCTGAAACTATCATAACATTGTTAGCCGGCTATACTCCAATATAAAATAAAAAGGTTTTTTTTTTTTTAAAAAAAGACTGATAGCCACTTAGTGAGTTATGTCTGGGTAGATGAAAGAGAGGAAAAGTTGGATTTTAACATGGGACCACGCCTTACAGCAAAGAAATTTTAGGCAAAATAACCTACTAGAGGGGATGAGGATATAAAACTTTATGGAGAGAGAAATTATAAGCAACTACTTACTTTCCCTCTTAGGACAGCCGTCCCTGAAGACAAGATAACCATTTGGTTTTGCTCATCACACAAGGCTTGAGACAGAGTAGGTGCTCTTTAAATATTTATGGAATGAATGACTAAATGAAAGAACTCTACAGACAGATTCACACATAAAGAAATGAAGAGGAAGGAAGATGAGATTTTGCATGACTGCAGAAGACTTAGGGAAATCCTTTTCTACTTCAAAACATGAATAATCCCCCTGCACCCATTTAGTATTTCAGAAACCCAAATCCTCTATTCCGTGGGAAAGAAGAAAGGAAAAGGCTGGCACAGTAGTGTGGACGCATACGAGAGTTGGTGTATGAGGGGGAGGATGAAAGAGAGGTTGAGAAAAGTTTTAAACTCTGATCCCACATTCCCTTCTCAGGAAAAATTTTGTGGAAGCCAACTCTCAGAAGGCAATTCTAACACTCCAGTCAAAAGATACCCCAAAGGGCTTCCCTGGTGGCGCAGTGGTTGAGAGTCCGCCTGCCGATGCAGGGGACACGGGTTTGTGCCCCGGTCCGGGAGGATCCCACATGCCACGGAGCGGCTAGGCCCGTGAGCCATGGCCGCTGAGCCTGCGCGTCCGGAGCCTGTGCTCCGCAACGGGAGAGACCACAACAGTGAGAGGCCCGCGTACCGCAAAAAAAAAAAGATACCCCAAAATCTAAGCAGCAGTTCCTACAAGAGTGGCAGCAGGGAAGAGGGCCAGGGATGCCCGTGCTCACCTCTCCTTCTGTACTCCTCAGGCTCCAACATCTCCCTGGGGCTTAGCTCCTTCTCACCAAGAACACGGAGGAGGTGGAGGGTGTGCTCCTGGGCAGCCCATGTGCGCCCTTTATTTAAAGGGTTCTCCTCTCTTCCACCTTAGCTCCGCCCTTCAGTGGCCCTTCCTCTAGGTTTAATTAATTCCACCCCTCCTCCCCCCAGTCCTTGCTGGGAACAGTGACCACAACTTTAGCTGGTCCAGAGATCTAGGATAAAAGGCACCTCTAAATTAAACAGTGCACTTAGCAGGCAGCCTCCAGGTGGATATGGTAAAGAGCCCTCATTTCTTTCTGGTCCCAGATTCATACAAGAGGTCCCGAGCCTCACACAAAGCTCCCAGCTCAGTAGCCCAGAACAAAGGCAAGGGTGTGCAGAATAAGTAGCAAAGATTATTATCATTCCTGCCACTGCGTCCCTGTCCATGGCAGGGAGGGAGAAACAGGCACTTACAGCGATGCTGCTTTTCTGGCCACGCTGTGCTCAGGAACAGACAGACGTTATCATCTAACACGATGGATTTTTGTTGTTGTTGTTACTACATAATACTTATTGCTGTAGAGAGATGAGAAAACGCAGATAAGCAAAAACCAAAAAAACAAAAATTGAAACATCACCCAGATTTAACACGGTTAGGACTTAAAAGGCTGTGTATGCATGTGCTTGTAAAGGGATGTGCAGAAACTACTGTGGGGAGGGGAAACACTACTCTCGGAGCTTTATTTCTGAGTAAAAAGTGAGTGAATGCTTTCAGGTTGCCAAAGAGAACAGACTATTTGGTTTGTTTCCAATCTTCATCTTCCTTGTCCTCGGGGTGGAGTTTGGTGGTTACTCCTTCCAAGACATTGCCCCTCCTTCTCCTACTGCCAGGTCTCTGGCTGTTTGTCTCCTCCATCTGGCCCTTAAATGTGGGCATGCTTCAGGGGATTGCCCTCCTCTCATCTTTCTTCCTCGGTGGCCATATCCATTTCTATGACTTTAAATGCTACCAGGTGATATTCTTATAAGTATAAACCCTGTGTCAAATTTATACCATGAGGCCCTGCCAGCCTTCTGAGCTCCAAAATCTTACATCCAACTGCCTACCTGACAAATAAGCTTGCATGGCTCTTAGGCACCTCAAACTTAACATGTTACAAAACCGAATTTTAGTCTTTCTCCAAAAATCTGCTTCCCGTTCAGTCTTCCCCATCTCAGTTTATTGTATCTCCATCCATCCAACCGTACAACAGAATATTATTCCATAATAAAAGGGAATGAAGTACTGACACAAGGTACAACATGGATAAACCTTGAAAACACTACGCTAAGTGAAAGAAGCCAGTCACAAAGGGCCACATATTATAGAATTCCATTTATATGAAATGCCCAGAATAGACAAATTTGTAGAGACAGAAGGTAGATTACTAGCTACCAGAGTTTGACAGCTAAGGGGAACAGGGTTTGGGTTTTTTTTTGTTTTTTGTATGGGAGGAGGGGATGGTAGTGATTAAAATGTTTTAAAATTATTGTGATGGTTACCAACTATGAATATACTAAATGCATTGAATTGGACACTTTAAATGGTGGGATTTACTATGACAAAGGAGACAAGAATATACAAGGGAGAAAAGACAGCCTCTCCAATAACTGATCCTGGGAAAACTGGACAGCTACATGTAAAAGAATGAACTTAGAACATTCTCTTACACCATATATGAAAATAAACTCAGAATGCATTAAAGACCTACAAGACCAGAGACCATAAAACTCACAGAAGAAAACATAGGCAGGACACTCTCTGACATGAATTTTAGTCATATTTTTTTTGATCTGTCTCCTAAAGCAAAGGAAATAAAAGGAAAAATAAACAAATGGAACCTAATTAAACTTAAAAGCTTTTGCACAGTACAGGAAACCATCAACAACGTGAAAATACAACCTGATGAATGGGAGAAAATATTTGCAAATGATTTGACCAGTAATGGGTTAATATCCAAAATATATAAATCAACACCAAAAAAGCCAAAAAATGGGCAGAAGACCTGAATAGACATTTTTCAAAAGAAGATATACAGATGGCCAATAGGCACACGAAAAGATGTTCAACATCGTTAATTATCAGAGAAATGCAAATCAAAACCAAAATGCAATATCACCTCACACCAGTCAGAATGGCCATCATCAAAAAGTCTATAAGTTGGGCTTCCCTGGTGGCGCAGTGGTTAAGAATCTGCCTGTCAATGCAGGGAACATGGGTTCGAGCCCTGGTCCGAGAAGATCCCACGTGCCTCGGAGCAACTAAGCCCATGCGCCACACCTACTGAGCCTGCACTCTAGAGCCCATGCTCCACAACAAGAGGAGCCACTGCAATGAGAAGCCCACGCACAGCAAGGAAGAGTAGCCCCCGCTCGCCACAACTAGAGAAAGCCTGTGTGTAGAAACGAGGACCCAATGTAGCCAAAAATAAATAAAATTTTTAAAATAAAATAAAAAATAAAAGATTCAGATTTTTCTTAATAAAAAAAAAGTCTACAAATAATAAATGCTGGAGAAGGTGTGGAGAAAGGGAACCCTCCTGCACTATTGGTGGGAATGTAAATTGGTGCAGCCACTATGGAAAATCGTATGGAGGTTCCTTAAAAAACTAAAAGTAGAGCTACTGTATGATCCAGCAATCCCACTGCTGGGCATATATCCAGAAAAAAAGAAAACTCTAATTTAAAAAACTACATGTGCCCCAACGTTCATAGCAGCACTATTTGCAATAGCCAAGACATGGAAACAATCCAAAAGCCCATCAACAGATGACTGGTTTAAGAAAATGTGGTATATAGATACAATGGAATATTACTCAACCATAAAAAGAATGAAATATTGCCATTTGCAGCAACATGGATGGACCTAGAGAATATTATGCCTAGTGAAATAGTCAGAGAAAGATAAATACTATATGACATCACTTACATGTAGAATCTAAAAAATAAAGCAAACTAGTAAATATAAAAAAAAGAAAAGAAATAAATGGGAGGGTTTAAAGTATGGCAATCTCAATAACGCTATTGACAAAGAAGGAGAAGAAGAAGGAGGAGG